TGAGCCACGAGCCACACCCTGAGCACTTGGGGTACTGCCCACACGCACCACGGTGGCAGGTTCCAATTGGCGTGACACCGTGACACCGACCCTTTTGAATGTCCTCCTGCAACGGCCTATTGTGTAGGCGTATCACTGTGGCGCGTTGCGCAAAGGAAAAGCAATTCTGCGTTTGGTGGGGGGTTTGGGAAGGCGATCAAGTCGACAGGTCGTTCGTCCGTCCGTCTCGTTGGTGAAAGTGATGGCGAGCGCAAAGGCACGGGAGGGCAGAGGTTGCAGCCCTAACTCGTAGGAAGGAGGAAGACCAGCTCAGAGGCCAGCGAAGTCAAAGCCGTATTTGTTATTGTCGCAATACCGCGACGGGCCAGCCGATACCCTGAGAGGGGCGGAGGGAGAGAGATATTCGCACCCAGGGGAGCTGGGGAGATGGAGGTTGTCGGTGTAAGTGCAAAGCGCAAGTGGGAGCGTGAGGGCACCTGCAGCCAGCAATGAAAGGTGCTGATTGGACACCTCCTCTGCACACACTAGTGGAATTGAGTAGTTGAGCAGTTGAGCAGTTAGGTTGAGTTGAAGAAGCAGGAACGGCAATACCTGGGTCGCAAGTCGCACCTGCTGTATTGATTATAAGTATGTATTCAAACGTCGGTCCTTGCTACCGGAAAGGGACTCTCCTTCTAACCACAACTCGTTAGCATAGGGAACAGTACGGGACCGTATGTGCCCTTATTACGTGTGGTAACTACTGGCTCCGAGACCAGGGACATCCCTTGACTCTTGAGACGACGACGACAACGATCCCCAACTTGGGCTTTGTCGGCCCCTCTATTCGCGCTCTATATTGGGAATTCAGGCGGTGCGATTGGCCAATGGCTCTCACTAGGTAAGATGTGTCTCCGGGTGGCTCGAGCCTGTCGTCCCGGTGAAGCGGGCTAGCCTTGAAGGGGTCATTGCGGGAAGCGAAGGATTGCTTTCTAGAAGCCACGCTAGAACTCTCACGAGCTTTAGCCTTTCAGGGGGCGGCCTTGCGACGGTCGGCGTCTTGATGTGCTGGAAATACCTCGGGATGCTCCGTGAGTGGTCTACTGCGCCGCAACCTGCCCCGCCTGCCAGGCTGCCTGCGCCTGCCACCCGACACCGATGATGTGCTTGGTCGTGTCCACTTGTCGCGTGTCGCCCTGGCGCTGGCCCTCACCAGTGCTGCAACTATTCTGGGTTGTCTGGGAAGTGCTCGAGCCTATTATCCTGAGATGGGTGTCTCGACTTACGCAGCGCCGGCGGGATCTTGTGCGGACTCTACTGTAGGGGATCTAATTGCCGAAGATGGGTAAACCTGGGACTCACCTCGGTCGAATTCTGGATTGCAAAACGGACTATTATGTATGAGAAACGACTCATTGCGGAATATCTAACGTCCAGATTTGCCCGGGGAGGAGAACGGTAGATGTTGTGCAGATGGCCGGCAACAAACATGAACACTTATTATTCTTCACAGGACAATGTCAAAGAGCTGGCTGGAATGGGCTGATGGGTGACTAGGTGTGCATATCAAGACAGGAAAGGGCTGTTACTCTTTGTGCACGCTTGAGCCTCCGACAGTATTGTGTCAATATGTGAATACCCACGCAGCTCCCAAATCTGGTGACGGCAGAGGGCCCTACGGGCGAGAAGGATCTGACTTGTCACTTGCCCTCTGGCATGGTGGCATCTGCAGAACTACCCGACTCTGCAGGGATGGAAGACTCGGTTCCATGCGCTGGGGTTTATTATCTGCAACCGCTCCTCATCTCGTGGCTGGCCAGGTTGGGATGCATCAGAAAGACCAGGATGCCAATCCTCCAATTTGTAGTCGGGACTATCACCGGCCCATTTTCGATGCAACGACAAGTTATGGACTAGGCATCTGTTATTACCTGCTGGCTCTTGTTCTGTACCGTACACCTCTCACCGTCACAATGAGATCAAGACTGTCAGATGAAGTAGGTCTGTCACGTAGCGGATGTATTATTACCCCGCCATAACACCATACAGTGAGTTACACCTTATCGTAGATCCTCGTCTCTTGCATACCTACCTTATCTTCTAATTTCTTGATCAGTCAACTCATTGATCCTTCACCCCTTTCTATCCTCCTTTATCCCTGCTATTGGTTGTGTGGCCAGCTCGTCCGATCAGCTCATCCGATATCTTTGATTTGGTGTCTCGGGCACTGGTCTCGTCAGCAGCTTCTAGATCAGGCCAAGGGCCAGTCTCAGCATGGATCTGGGCTGATTTCACATGCTATTCGTAAAGTATATTGGACTTGCCCGCATCAATCTAATAATACACCAAGTACCTAACACATGACAGTTGTAAAGCTGCACGTCCCATGCAGGGGATAGCTTTTCATGAGGTGCTTCATGGCTTGCTTTTGCAGCCCCTACCGTACCACGAGCCCCCTTCCGAGCGACATAGGAGGATGCAACCTAAAGTCCATGCGCGTCAAGATCTGACACCTCGCACAGCTTCTGGAATCCGTTCAAGCATCAGTGACCATCTTGGCAGACTCTATTCCAGGAACAAACATCTCAGGATTCCGTCGGTCACCAACATGGCAATCTACTGGCCACCGAAACCTTCACATTATTGTCCCCGTCTGGTGGGACTGTCACCTCACCGCCGGGACTCATGAAACCCACATGGAAGAAGGAGCGACAAGGGCATTCACCATTTGTCGGGTCTGGGGATGGATTCGACACATGCAACCTCGCGTGCCTCGATCCTAGCAACGTCCCATAAAGATGGTACGTGGTGGTGTTCTGGCCCATCCTGCCTCCTTTTCCTTTGCGACGGCCAGCCCTCGTTTTCATCTCCCATCTCCCATCTCCCATCTATTGTGGACAGAATGAACCCCACCATCGCAGCACCACTCATAATTGACGCAGTGAGCACATTAGTTCAAAAGCTTCTCACCGCCAAGTCACAGTCTCACACCGAGGCGCACCGGTAGGACATGGATCCCATTCGATCATACCCGGCTGGTCGGAACGGCGCCCGAGCGTCTTTTGATTAGCCCCATCTCCCCTCGTGGCTTCCAAGGATCCGAAATCTGTCACTTTCTGTCTTGCATATTGCCCATTTTTCTGCTCAACCTGTCAACCCAGAAACTCTCAAGAGCGGAACCGGCAAGGCTGCCGGTGTCACGTCACATCAGTTTCTAAAAGCCAACATACATACACCATGCCACACTCATCCCGTCGCATTGAACGTAGCCGATGGGTTAAAGGAAGCAGAATGAACCTGATGAACGCGACTCTCGGTTCGGTTGCCATCATTCCCCCCTCCGGGGTAGGCAGGCCCGTTTTGGTAAATTCGGGGTTTCCGGGGTGCATCTGCATCATACGGCAGACACGTGAAAGAGAGACGCCGGACAGGATGCAACACCGCGCGGCCGGAATGGAACGCCATGACATCTGGACCGACCTGTCGCTATTCGCATTGACTTTGTATGCATCTTTTTCAATTTACTCTGCATATCACTCCTCGTCTACCCCGGGTTGAGCGGCTCAGGCTGGCTGCGTGGCGGCGAGCCGACCCTCCTCTTCCGCAAGCGTTCCGGCAGACGACAGCGATGAACATTGATGCCGAGGTAGTCGAGTTGGAACGCTGCAGTCATGCACGAACTTTCGCACGTATGCCGGACGGCTCGATGCACGTCGCGTGTCTGCATTGCAGCATGGCCGGATCTAACTGTTTCACCGCCCTGGGCAGTTAATTCTCCCCGATTTCGTTGCTAAGTACTGTTGACGACCAGATCATCATGCTCCTATCCCATCCAGCCGCGCTTTCGCGACGTGTGTTGAATGCGCTTTGGCATTTCGGATGCGCTCGCGACGCGCAGGAGCATCGCGGCGCCCATGACACCTAGGACTCAGCCGGTTCGGCTGGCCCTCCCGCCTCTCCGTGTGTGCGAGCCGATCCTCCACCCGCTTCCCGTTCCCCATCCATTACCCACCTGTCCAACTGTCTCGGGGCTCGGTCCTGCAGCGGACGAACGCATGCATTCTCCACGGAAGCCGGGGTATTCGGGACGGGGAATCAGGGGTTTAAGGGAAAAGGGTTCATCCCAAGTATTTTACCTCCTTCCCGCTTCGTGTGGTTGTGTAACGCATACCTATCTCATACTCCGCACCCCGCCATCATCTGCAGGTTCATTGTTGCCCGCAGGTCGGCTGGGACTCGGGGGAGACGGGAAGGAGTTGCTGCTGTGCTGCAGGAGACTTTTCCCCAATTTATCCGGTGGCACAGATCCTCATGCTTGCCTGCCTGCCTGGCCTGCCGGCAGGCATCGGTCGCAGCTCGCTTGGGTGCATGGAGGAGGATGCAGAAGGCCCTTGCAGGCTGGCACTCTATTTCCTCTCGCTTGGTGATGCTCCGCGTGCTTTCCTCTGATCTTTTTCATCTCACATGGTTAATGTTGCAGATCGTATAGTACCTTGGCGGTTATCAATCGGATGAAGAAGCTGGGGCCGGATCTGCAGGGTCTTCATTGATGCGGGATGAGAAAGGTACCTAGGTAGGTTGGTCACAGGTGAGAAAGGCGGGAACCGGAACCGGCTGTATTCTGGTTTCGTTGAGCCAACTTGCCGACCTTCATGGTTGCTCGATCAAGGTACACTAGATGCTCGCTCGACCTTGGGTAATCGAATCTTGGCCCGCGGAGCTTTGAGGTCGGCGGCATCATGGCGTTGCTTGCGCCCATATGGGTGATAGGAGCTTCCGTGGTCCCTGTGATCTCCTCGGGGTCTTGTAGCTCGGAGAGAGAATACCCAGCCAGAATGCTTTTCCTGGCTGGAGTATCGTGATGATGCCGATTGACTACATTGGTTCTCCCAGACAAGCGTACGTACATCAAATATCCAAATCAGACACCATACTCCAACACTTTTGCAGACCGAACCCAGTCCTAGAGTCCACGTCCATAACCAAACCAGCCCTCACACTCCTTACGAATCCGCTTACACTCACGAAAACACAGTCTTCGGCCGCTCCAACATGACCCCATCCAGCTCAATATCGACCTTCTCATTATAAAAGCACAGAAACCCCGTCACCATCACGCACTCCGGCGTCGGCGTCCGGTAGTACCAGACCAAATCGTCGAAGCTCCTCTGCTCCTCTGACCCCTTTCCCTTTCCCTTTCCCTTCCCATCCCCACCGAGAACAACATCATAATAGTCCGCCTCGCCCTTATAAGGACAAGCCGTGCGCGTGCCCCGGCGGCTCTCGCGCAGCACGCCCGGGTTTGGTAGGATTGCCGTCGGGGGCACGTAGAAGCGCACGGGGAGCCCGGTCTCGTGGAGGTGGTAGGCGGTTGTTGTTTGTGCTACCAATATTCCCTTCTCTCCCTCTTTCCCCCCTTCCCCTTTCTGCCCTCCTGCTTCGTTGGTGGAAATGTAGATCTTCAGCGGCCGCGTGCTGTGCAGCACGTCCACGCGCCGGAAAGGGTCCTTGGGGTGCACGTAGATGCGCGTGTCCTCCTCGAACCAAGCACTGGCGGCGCCGAACTCGACGCGCGCCATGGATTGTAGGGGTAAGGTGTGCGGGCCGTAGCGCTCGGCTAGGTTGCTGCCGAAGAGGAGGACGCGGTCGGTGCTTGCGGTGCTGGCTTTTAGGGTCATTATCTTGTAATCGTAGCCCTGCCCTTCTTCGCCTTTCTTCTGTCCTTGATGGGAACCTTGCTCCGTAGAAGAAGTAGTAGAGGAGGAGGAAGGCACAAGCACCCCCTCCGCAAACGAGGCTACGGGCACGTAGTAATACGGGTAGAACGGGTGCTCCCACACGTACACGGCCGCCGTCGTGTCCGCGACCCACGCCCCGCCGAGCTGGATGCGGATCCGCCGCGGCGTCGGGAGGGTCTTGACGGGGCCCGTCTCGAGCAGGCGCTTGGCGAGGTCTGGGAGGTTGGGCTTTTTGCGGGGGTCTGCCATTTCTTATTTTCTTGCTTCTGGTTATGTTTGTCTTGGTTTGTTTTGTGAATGCTTGGTGTACTTATAGGTAGGGTGGCTGGACTTGGTCACCCTCGGCTTGCTTTGGAGACTTTCAGAATAGGGATCGGTTCTGGAGCAAGGGCAGTTGTGAGGGTGGAATGGATGACGATGGGTTGCCTGTCTGTCAGTGGTACAAGAGCCAACTGAGTAACGAGTGACTTTGTAGATGTTCGGTGAGACGGCAGGTATGAGCGAGATTTGACGCCCAGGTAAACGCACATGAAGTATTAGGATTATATAAGACCACAAGTAACGCTACTTATCGATTATTCATGGTTCGGTATTGTAGATCTCGGCTCCAAGGCCTCCCTCGGCACATGCGGACGACCGCCACTGGAAGCCCGAAATGTCGTCAGCGACTTGGTAACGTTATGGCGGGGTAGCTACAGCTATACACATAGATCTCGACTGCAGTATGCAAATGTGCATGTTCTTAAACCTCAGAGATGCCGTCGAGGAGCTAGAGGCAATCCAAGTTTATGTTAGTGTCCAGCCGTATAGATTGAATGACGATAACTTCGGGCCAGCTCAACACTTGTGTAGCTGTTCCTGAATTCCAAAGCATCACATGCAATGGTCGCCAAAGGGTGATGATCGTGTGAAATTCGACTTGATTGTGTCGGTCTATAATACAACAATGACTAGGCCAACCGGCCTCCTCTGCTCCTCTAAACACAATGGGTATCTCAAATGATCAGAAGCCTGCCCTGCCAGAACGATGGTACTACCACTTCGTGTGTACCGCCTTTTCCGGCTTCCCTTCCTAAGATTGGAAATTTCCTAGCCTCCAACCATGCATCGTCCAATGAACAAACAATCATGCCCTGCCTGAATGCTGCCGTGCCTGATGCCAGTATGTGAAAACTCCCTTTACCATACGTGTCTCGTATGATGCTTCTGGACTTGGTGTAGGAAGCTCCAAGGCTCCAAGGCTCCAAGGTCCAAAACCTGAGAACGCGTCCAAGATCACTACGCACAACTTCAGTCCCCCATATTGATCAGGGTATCTTCGGAGACTGTCTTCTGATCCTTAACGCCGTTGCGGTGCCGTAGAAAATGAGGAAGCCTTTCCATTATCGCGGGTTCTCTTGATCTCGCGTTAATGTTCAGTTCTCAATGAAATGGGTCGTGGTCAACCTCCAACCTCTTTGCTGCCGGCTCATCGCCCGGGTCGTCCACTACTCCGTACTTCTCTATCCACCGCTTGCGCAGCACCTGGTAGATGAACAGGTACTGGCCCTCGGCCTGCACCATATGGATGCGCTGCTTTCTCAGCTCGTTGACCGTGTGGAATACGAGGTCACACGAGGGATAGTCGGGCTTGTCCGGCGTCTCCTTGTAGTACTCCAAGTCGCCAGAATCTATCTCGCGCATCAGATGCTCAAGGGCGATGAACGTGCCGCTTCTTCCGACGCCAGCTGAGCAGTGGACGATCCGGGGGTTGTCCTCGCTCGCGTTCAGCTCTCGTGAGAGATGCATCAACTCAAAGAAGCTGTCAATGTCCTCGATCGCAGGAACACCGAAGTCGGGCCACTTGCGATATAGCAGATGCCAGACCGTCATGTCCTCCTCTCGACCCTCCACATGAACATTGAGCTTGCGCATCTCGATTGCACCATTGGCTCTCTCTTCAATGCTCGCGCAAGTGACCTGGGCCCGAAATCCGTCTCCAAACTCGTCATCCTCGCCAATCTCCAGCACCTCGCTCTCGACGCTTCGTGGAAAGTAAGGATAACACTTCTCTGCGCCCATCTCGTGAGTCTCTGTCAACATAACGATGACAGCTGGACCTTGCAACTGCTCCACAACCATGCGCCAGGCATGCTCCAGCGACTCGAACTTGGGACCTTGCATCGCGATGTACCGGTGAGGAGAGCGGTCGTTCGGCTTGAGGGGAGACTGCAGGATGATCGGTGACGCATTGATGTAGTCGAGTCGATCTTCGGGTACTTGCAGGTGAATGCGGTTGTCGGCCCAGGGGAAGATGTTCATGTATCGATCGAGGAGCTTAGCCTCGGGATCGTCCAGGCGTACAAATTCCGGTCGGGTTTGGCGAATGCGTTCTTGCCAGGTCAGGTCTTGGAACTTCAACGTGATCACTGTGGGCGCATTGGCGTCAGCGCATACATACAATCAAGGAAGTCAGTGTAGAAAGGGAAGACATACCTTGCTCCGAGACTGTCAGGAAGTTAGGAACCTTGGGCTTCTCTACAGGCGGGTGGGCGCCGTTGCCGTTGCCGTTGGTAGGCTGATCCTTCGCTGGCGACATCATGTCGTGCTCAACAGTACCATCGTGGTTGGCGAGGGCGGGAGAAGTCGCGGCAGGGAACGAGGCCGGCGCAGGCGATCGGGCCCTCTTATGAGCAGAGCGAAAGTGACGCAGGCTTTGGAAGGGCGACCTGGGAGTGTAGAGCGCGCTGTTGCTGGTGCTGCTGGTGTTGCTATGACTCGAGCCCGGACGAGGGGACGTAGGTGTCGTGGAAATGGAGAGAACAGGAGGGGTGTCGTGGCGACTGGGGGGTGCCAGTCTGCCATCGGCGGTAGACAAGGAAGGAGAAGATTCCCGTGCACCTGAGGGTGAGGCCCTCCGAGAGGCAGCCCGAAAACGGGAGGAAAAGCGATCCATGGCGAAGGTGGCGCTGCGCAGGCGAAGTTTGGGTTGGTCAGGAATGTGTCTGTGGTAGAAAGAGGGTGTAGTCGGCGCCGCAATAGGTTGGGCGGAGGGCGCCGGTGTGCAGTAGCCGTATGCAGACGATGTAAATGTGCTGCTGACGGTGTTGAAGAATGTGCTCTGCAGCAGGGATGATCACGGTAGAGAAAGTGAATTGTAGTCGAAGGCGGTGATTGTGGAATCTTTTAATGGAACATGGGCGGTTTGGAATTTGGAGATGGTGGCATGGACTGCGCTCCTAGGCAACGACACGGGTTGATTGATGCCTCAGAGGCACCATTAGACGGTGTTGTGACGTCTGAAAAGGCACTGGGCACCCACAGGCGAGTGGAGGAGGCAGAACATGTTCAACTACCTCCCGACTCCAGTATTACGTCGGTGTTGAGAGTGACAGTGAGAGTGAGAGTGCAAGCTTGAGGAGTGACGAGGTCGACAAAAATGCACGATGATCACCGAATGCCGCATGGACACTGGGCAGAACAATGTGCGGGCCGTTATTACATGCATTCTTTAACCGGCTGTTACCGCTGTATGGGGGCGTGTCACAAGTACAACTGATTGATGCCTCTTGACAAATACTGGACATGGGACTGTCCCTCGAATGAAGGGGATCACGATTTCTATGTGTACGGTACGCTTGATACACAAATCTCTGACAAGACTGTATCCAAATGTGATAAGAAGGGTTCACGGTCATGCGTTTCATTGTTCACTGTGGAAAGAGAAGCATGGAAGAGTCAGGTCTATTTTTGGAATGCTTGGAAGTGCCTGGCCAGTCTCCAAGTGACGTTATGCTCTGTGGGTGCCTCGGCTAAATCGCGGCAGTGTTTGTTCGGCGTTCGGTGTTTAGGTAAGTGAGTCAGGGGGGTTTGAACACGCTGAGCCAGAGGCCAACACAAAGCCATTTTCTACTTCTTACTGCCTCTAAAGCTCCAACACAAATTGGAAGCTCGGCCGCCCACTGCTGAAAGTACCTGCCTGCCTCGGTACTGACTAATCCTCGACCTTTTCCCGTACATTTGGCACGGCCTTGTTCGTAGGCTTCGTGCAGATTTGTGATACTCCAAGCTACGGGTTCTGTAAGTACTTGCGAACAGCTCGATGGGCGTGCAACTACAAGAGTAGACTGCTATACTCTAGCCAACATCTTTTCAGTTGCCTCTATGCCATCTTAGGGCTTGGTGACAATTAGGGGTGCGGCCGCTATTCTTCAGCGATGTGTTTCCTCCTGGCTTGAGCTGGAGATGAAAGACAGATACGCCTCAGAGAAAGCCCGAACGCTACAGCGTTACCACACTGGTCCAATACAAGATCTGTCTCTGGTGTTACTGCTTGGTCCCCAGGTGGCTTTGCTGCTCAGCCATGTGCTTCATCATACATATGTGCTGGGCTGTGTTGCCATAGGACACCATCTCGAGAGGGACTTCTGTGGGCACATCACACATGGACGCATCTGTCATCCACCAATGTTTCCCTTCTTCTCTCTTCTTACTTCTGCCGAGACCATAGTCCGAGTTCCAATGGAGCACTCTATCCAACTCAGCTAGTTTGATCGTTTGATCTGGATCCGTGATGGATCCTCTGTCTATCACAGCAGCCATTGTTGGCATCGGCCAAGCGACAGCCTCGGTTGGCAAACGCGTGAAATTTCTACAGTCAATCTCTAAGGCTAGGCCAGAGTTCTGCCAACTGGTCAACGAAGTACTGCCTTTCTTACTTACAGTTCCGGCAGACGAACCAAGCTGCCCGACTTGTAGCTGACAACTCTTCAGTCATTCCTCTTCCAAATTGAAGACACCCTCAGGTCGATAGCAGATCCCAATTCGCCCGTCCCAACCCTCGTCCCCGACGCGATATATAACTTCGAAGCCATAATCGCCGATGCTATCAATAGTATCGATGATTTATGCGATCGATTTCTTGCTTATAGCAAGGGGCTTGACAAGCATGGGCAACATATGATTCCTCGTACTCGCTGGGCTTGGGAGCAGCGCAGGTTACCCCAGCTTCGCGATAAGATCAAGAAGTGCCGAGACTCCCTTTCTGTGTCTTTCGCAGTTTTAAACATCTCTCAAGGGCAAGTTTGATCAATCCACAGTCAAAATTGCGTGCCCATCTAACGTTATATGAAGCCACAAACATGCTGTTTTAGCTGTCGAGCTCCACCAGTTGGTAACTACGTCATCCTCGGGGGCAGCTAAGCGGTTTAATGACCTGGAAAAGAGAATGGACGACGGCATGAAACTGATCGAGCAGCAACTGACCACCATTCCAGCCCAGCTGACCCAGTTCATCGCATGAACAGCTGAAACCCCACCAGGAACCCAGGGCCAGAAGAAAGCCGACAAGTCAACACAAGGCAATGATACAGACATAATATCCATCGATACCCAAGTTTCCTCTCGATGTATACAGGACTGCAGATGTCAGTGCCATACAACCTCAGACTCCCGCACCCTGGCAGTGGCTGCAGCTCCTCGTTGGCCGGCTGTTACTTGTAAGCCGAACCAGAAACTTCCCTGAAGCAGATAACTTCATCTCACCGAAGCCCAGTTCAACTTGAGTCACAGTGACATAGTGACTTACCTGCTTGATTCCGGGAGTAATATGTATTTCGAAAACGCACATGGGCAGTAAGTAAAACCATTGTTATCATTGCCGTATGATCTAACAAAAGTCAGATCGCCTATTAAGCAGGCCTGGATAAGTTACTACGAGGGCACCCGCAACATGGCACTGGACAGGATCCGCGACCTTGAGTATTTTGCTAGGAACAGCTTCAGCAACGCACTCCACAGAGCTGTTTATCGATCCGATGTGGTGAGGCTGGAACAATTCTACGTTTGACTACTTCTGGCTTAGAAGATCGCGACTGGCTTGGGTTCACACCTTTACACTGGGCCATACAGAGATGTGACTTTGCCTCTGCGGAAATCCTTGTTCGATATGGGGCCGACTGCAATGAGCGATACCCAGAAGGACAAACACCCTTGATGCTGTTCGCTAGGAACTTTGAGGTTCCGAGGACGGTCTTCGACGCATTGATAATGAACGGCGCCAAGGTGGATGCTCAAGATGAATATGGACGGTCGGCTTTGCACACCGCTGCTCTGTATTCACAGAGCATGACGAGTTGGCTGCTCGAGGCGGGCGCAGACGTCAACTCAAAGACTGATAGGGGACTGACTCCGCTTTTCCTGATTTGTCAGAAATCTAATGACGGTCAGATTGCTCTTGACGTTCAGCGAAATGCGAAAGTTCTCATCTCGCACGGCGCAGACTTGGAGGCAGGACTGTTTGACAACGCGCCCCTGCTAGTGGCTGCACTGAGTCGCTATGATGACGGGCTTTTGGAGCTGTTGTGGGATTCCAGTGCCGACATCACTGCAGTCAGCGTGTACGGGGGATCAATACTACACCATACGGCAATGTACGGAGGGTTGGCACGCTTCAAATACATTCGATCCCACGAGATCGTTGGCATCGACCCCGACGCTTCGACCTTGGGCGGAAAAGTCCACTGGACTTGTTCGGAATTCGTCTCCTGGACAATTTGCGTTCGATGGAAGACAGGGAACCCACATCAATTGGGGCCAGGCACGAGAATAACAACGCTCCAAGAAGTTTCAGTGTTCCAGACCTTTTTGTCGGAGATCAGGAGAAGGAACTGGGCGGTGGGTCTCTTTCTGTACTCGAAAGAGCTCTTCAAGGGCGACGAGTCCGACATCATATCCACCGACGATATAGACGATGCCTGGAATGAGATTGGCGACGACAACGATGGGCCTCACATCGTAAAATATGGCGATGGGTACAGGTATGTGTGGTGAAGCCAGAGGTATACGGAGGATGAGGAGGGTAGATGGTGATGGCTTCGACGAGGAGTTCGTTGACTGTTTTGGAGAACCTGGGAAACTTATGACGCATGTTTTCTTTCCCCCTTTTCTGCCCCTATTTCACCTGATTACATGAGGCGCCTTCAACTTTCGGCGCTGGTACCCACTTGAGGGTGGTTCTGTTCTCAGGGGTTGACCCGATCTCCACTCGCAAGGTTCCCTGTAAGGGGCTTGATATGATATGGGAAAGGACAACCGTTACTCAAATGTCACCCTCGACTTCTCCTCAGAGGCTTTGAGAGGACATGCTATGGTGCGGTATAAGTCTTCAATTCCTTCTCAGGGAGATTACAGTGGCCACTCACATGTTACACCGGCCGCTGGGCCTATATACTTGTTCACAGGAACATGACAGTGTCCGAGGCCTTCATCGCGGTGATGAGCTGCGTGTATTCACCACTGGTCATTCATCACCGCTGTGTCACTGATCCTTCCTGCCGTTTTACTTGGTGGTTGAAAAATGGGAAAGACATCGCTTCCGAAACACAGCCTCCTGTTGAGAGGTTACTGTGTCTTCTCTCTGTCTGACATTCCCATGCAGGCAGTGAGCCCGTCCGCTGGGGACCAGCCGCAACTTTCGAAGTCTATAAATACCGGCTGGTGGTAGTAAAGCTTCCTCTTCTTCTAAATACCCGCAGCAACAACCGCATATCAACAAAATACTCGACAACACCAACATCTACCAACAAACTTGATCATCGAGCGAGCCTCATCTACAACGACACCAAGACATCTTGAGCATCCACCTCTGCTTTCCACCACCGACGCAAGTTCAGCATCCTTCGGGCACCCTTCAAGCACCCTTCGAGTGAGCTGAAGAAGAACTCTCAACAGTCCTGTCAATGGCGGACCAGGAAACTAGGAATAAAAACTCGGCCGCAGACCACGCAGCCGCAACTTATGCGGTAGCTCAAGCGTGTGCCCCAATCCATGACAAGGCCGTCAATGAGGCCCTTGCGACCACGCGTGAATCGCTCCAGGGACTGGAACAAGTTAGCACGAAAATGGACGTCTACAAGAGCGATCTAGACAAAGTCGTGGCTTCGGACGACTTCAAGAAATCATCGGGTCCGGCCAGCAAGTGATTTTGGATCAAGGGGAGGAATGCGGAGTAGGCAGGACTGTGGGAGACCGTGGACATGAGGATTTTTTGGGGAAGTTTTGTTTCATGGGGGGTTTGTCAGGCGACTCGCGGGGCGCGGTTGAGTGAGGTAGTAAACATCATGTAGTAATGCGGATATTTCTCTCGCCTTTACCTAGGTGTGTTGCTTGGCTGTGCAAGTACCTGTATTGAAACTAGTCGTCGCCATTTACGGTACGTATGGTACTGTCTACAGCTCTGGCCTACTTGAGTCGCCTTTGCACAGAGAAGCGGGTGTTTGAGCCCGTCGAAGAGACGCAGCCTCTCGAAAGAGAGATGCAAGTTTTCCAGATTAACGGTTCACCAGTAGGACAAGCCACCCAAAGTCAACGTCCACAGGATCATTTCGATACAACGAATTATAATGATAAGTGTGCTGAATTCCCAGGTGTTTTACACCCAATTACCTAGAGCGAGTGGACACTTACAGGTCCAGGTAGTTGGGAATCAGGTTTCAGGTTGGTGTCAAAAACAGTACGTTGCAGTAAGGATGTCTGGCATGTTTCTCCTGCTGTACGAGAGGCAACTATCCCAAGAAAGCCTCCAGCTCAGACCGACCATGCCATTGCCATCGAATTCCGGTGGTCTAATGCATGGTACATGTTGGTTTCGATATCATCCTTGAAACCTCAGCCCATTGCCATGATCGGTCAAAGACATCTTCACTCCACCTCATCATTTCAGTGTGGCATGAGGCTGCTGCCGTCCCCAGTTCCGTCGACGTGCGTCTCCTCATGTATTTGCACCTTTTCGACAGCACCTTTCTGCGCCAGCTCCGCTAGGGCGTCGACGTAGCCGTCAGTAGTGAGACACACTTTGATCACCTTTTCCGCCTGCTGCCGGCCCTGATCCCGAGCTCCCGGCACGTTGCCTAACCTGGGGGATTCCACTAGCTCGCGGAGGACTCGTAATAGGTTTCGTGTGTGCTTGGAATCGCTTCGATCCTCCACCTCCTGGGCCGCCTCGATGACGCAGTGCAGGTAGGGCGGTGCGTGGGCTCGCAGGTCGTGGAGTAGCGATAGCGCGTCGTCCAACTCCACCCCAGGGTCTACCAGCTTCGCGAAGCGCTCTGGAGATAGGCTGGTCGTGTCGCCGACTTGCTCAGGCAGGAGCAGCAGGAGCTGCACGATGAACGACTTCACCAAGTCCAGTAGCATATCCCGACACGAAGGGATCCGTGGGTGACCCGAAGCGTGGACTTCGAGGGAGCAGAAGTAGGATAGGCATGGTATATCACTGTTGTTGGACAGCGCGACGAGGCATACGGCCGTCAGCGTGTTCTGGCTGGGATGCGAGATCTCGTGCGGACCCTGGAGCCAGATGCTGTCGGACTGTTGACTTGTAGTCCAGGCGTCGATACGTCGCTTGACGTGGTGGTCGATGGTGATGTTTGAGGCCCTCGAGGTGATGGCGACGATGTTCTGGATGTCTTGGTTGTATTTGGCTGTAATAGGGGCGAGAAGGGCTAGGGTAATTTGTCGGTCGAAACCTCCTCTGTCCTCTTTGTAACTAGGGGCAACGTTTCCGCGCTCCTCGTTTGGCTTCGGGCTACTGGAATTCATGCTCGCTTCTTTCCACTCTGGTGCGACAGGTGCTGGTAAGCATAGAGTCGCCACAGAAGAAGTTAGTTGAGGCCGCTCATGGAGGATCTCATGAGGAGGTATGGCCACGCCCTGGCTCAGAAGAAGACGGTAAAGATCGGTGCCGAGCTTCATTATCAGTTGCTGCTGAGAGGGCTGGTCCTGCATCATGGCCTGAAAGCGGAGCTCCATATGAGTTTGCCGTTGCTTTATCTCTTCTTGGAGGGCATTGGTGATACGTAACTGCTCCCTCGTGCTTCTCTGGAATTCGAGTTCGGCATGCTTCTTCATTCTCTGCTCGATGGCCTTGATACGGTTGCGTTTCTCGCTGAATATATTCTGAAAGGCGTTTTCGTCAAAGCTCTTGATGAACCTAGAACACGAAGTAGTTAGCAGCTACCTGTTGACCAGCGCAAGTCACTGACACCTAGATGGAATAATGTCTGTGCTTGTATAAAGCGGCACTCGATATAAACAACCTCTATAAGTCTTTGTTCGGCATGTCTCTATCCATTCTTAGGTATCAATGCTAAATTCGTTTTGATGGAATAAGCACTCTGGAATAAGCATCCAAGATGACTTGCCAAATCGTATCTGCTTATTTCATAGTGCTTATTCCATCAAAACGAATTTCTTGCTTGCTGAACGAGAGGTGTACGGAGACTTTTGGAGGTTCAGTGTAGTATCAAGTGCTTAATACCGAAACAAAGAGCTGGCTCGTACCTCTTCCAGGATGATCTGGACCATTGTGTGAATATCTCCGTCAGAAACTCGAAGACAACCACATATAGCTCCATAATGTAGCGTTGCAGTATAGCAGTGTCTGAGTATTCACTGATGAGCCTGTTCCAATACACCATATCTTGACTGAGTTCGTCTAAACTCTCCGCAACACCATCAGCTAGTTCCTGGTGATTGATGGAAGCCTGGATGTAAGACGCAATTAGACCTGATTTTCAAATGCATGACTATACTAAACCTCCAACAGTCTCCATACACCCCTCGGTCAGCAAGCGTAGGATATATTCATTATAATGGAATAAACACTCTGAAATGAGCATTAAAGATAGCACTTCAAATAAATGCTGCTTATTCCAGGGTGTTTATTCCATTCTTGCGAATACAGCATTGATATCCATAGTTGATTAAGAGATGCCAGACGGAGAATTATGGGGGATGACTATAGCACAAGGGATTGAAGGCATACCTGAGCAATGGCGGAAAGTGATCCGGTGAGAAGGGTGACGTATTTATCATCGACCGGCAAAACCGACACCAGGTTGCTGTGGGAAGTGAAGTTGTCACATAAACGGGTAAAGACCCCCTTGACTCGGCCGATTCGCGTACCCCCACGCTTCTCGGTCCACGTCTGCGACGCTTTGGCGACCGATTCATGTAAAAACTTGAGACTTGGCGTCCCCTTTGACATCTCATCTCGCTGCCCTTCCGGCAACCGGTCGCAGAACTTTGTCCAAGCATGGTATAGTTGGCGACTTTGGTCCCGCAGAAAGATCTCTTCGTCCGGGAGGGCCCTAGATGACATCAGTCTGCTGAGTCCCGTAGTCGGATCTGAGGTGACACGTACTCAATGGCCATTTCACGGCCCTCGAGTAGGAATACATTCCACTGATCTCTGAGGGTCTCGATGTCCTCCTCGCGTTGCCTCTGGAGAGCGACCTTGTTGGCGAGCCCCCGACTCAATGTGTCGTCTGGGCGTCTGCTTGACAAGTCGTTCGGCTGGCTCTGCGCTCAAATCTGTTCTGCCTGCCATTCTTCAAGCTGGTTTTCTACTCGCCCCTGCTATTTACATGAGTTTACCCATCAAAGAGACGCACAAGTCAAGGGTGACAGGGGTGGGAGCTTCGAATAATTTGGTGAAATGCTATCGAGACCCAGATCAGCGGGAATATCAATATTTGCATTTGCTTGCAGCCTTGCTCGGGACGTTTAGATGGCGAATGCTGCAGGCTCCGAAGTGTTCCCAATGCATGATGGGCAGGCAGCAGCGGAGTAACTTCCAATGTGTAAGCTGGCCGTGTAGCAGTGGCCAGCACGGATTGAGGCAGGAGCATTGGATCCCGAGTCGGGTTGCATTTGCTGACATCATCAGCCAATGGGCTGTGGACAATGCCCCGGGCCGGCATGTCCAAGCTGAACTGCACCTGCAGTGTGAGACTTCTCGCCAGTCTTGACCTACCTACTTCTATGCACCTGGCCGACATGTGTCTGCTCCCCCCTCCCCCCTCCCCCCTCCTCGCTCAGCTTCATTGGTTGCCATCCCCTGTCCATGTATGGCCCCCAAGCAGAGTCTTTCACGCGCCGCCACTGTCGCTTCGAGGCTGATCTCAACAAGTTGGTGGGCTATTCGCTTGCCCCCAGCTTTTCAATTGCGTCGAAGATCTCTTGACCGTGCTTCATCAGTGCGCCCGAGGAACTTCGCGAACCGGGGCGCTCCGAACATCCACAAAGGCCTCAGTAAACCGCGAACATCATTCCTCAACATTGTCTCTTAGATACGCGGTATGGATCCATCGACCCGCCGGCGCAGGGGCAGATCCAGGTCGGAGCAGTCCACCAGCTCCGATGGTTCAGATTCTTGTTCGGATTCAGACGATTACGATACTACCGACATCGCTGTATACAAGGCGTACGAAGAGAAGGAGATGACCGATGATGCTTCGGGAACCCAGGCTGCAAGGAGAAGCCTCGAGCCATCTGTGGTGTGGGCAGCCAGCGTTTTTGACGTCGGTGCACAGAAGCGCCGCGATAAGAAAAAACCCGTTGCCATCTACTACAGCGATTCCCCTCATGAGATATCAATCTTCACTCCGGACAAGAACGGCCTGCAGGACAGCTCTACCGACTCTGGAAGGCAACGATACGACGACGGAAGCGTCCGTCCGAGTTGGAGTGGCCGTGTCTTCGAAGTATCCTGTAATGCGCTTGCACATTTGCCGCACGAGCAAAAGCCAGGCTGGCCCCGCCTCGAGGACGCCCAGGTCGAGATGCTCAAGTTCGAAAAGATCTCCTCGAGCTCCATCGTTGTCAAGTCCCCTTTCTTGTACTCTGGACTCAGAGCTCTTGCGAGGTACTACCCGTCATTTTGGGGACAGCCTGCTGGGGATCTTTTAAACCAGCAAGCAACGCGAGCAGCAGACGTCTCCGGGGAAATAACCATTCATGAACCATGGGGATTCTTACTACACCACTTCATGGAAATGGAGGCTTTCATTCAAAGCACAAGTGAGGATTCCCCCTGGATATCCGCCAATGCAAGCGCGGCCGAGAAAGACGCCTTTCAACTCGAAAGGGAACATATACAGCACCTGTACGACTTCGTAAAACCCCGATACGAGGCCCAGGTCCTGCCTTGTACCAAACTTCTAGAGGCAACACCGCCGAAAATGATACCATTTGACATGCTCTGGTATGTCTTTGCGCCCGGTACCGACGTCTACTTGCAGCAAACCGGTTTGCTGCCCCAAGTCTGCGTGGTCACAAGAGTCTCGAGTGACCTGGACGACGAGGGTTCCCATGGTTCGAGGTTCTCTCAAAGACGCCGTGAATACTGGAACCTGGAACTATGGTACCTCGACAGTGATGGACAGAGTATTACCAGGAGATCGAGAACATGCCGCATCCGGACTTATCCAGGGGTCGAAGAGCTGATATGCCTTGACGTATGCCCAGTCGACGTGTGGGATAAACATGATAACTTCGGATGACGTCGAGATATCATGCGGCGCAGTAGACTCCTTTTTCGGTCCTTGAAGCAGGGGCACTTGTTAGCTCGCTATGACGGGCCCATCGGTCAATACGATGGGCCTCTTTTCAGGGGATCACGAAATGTGGGTGATAATATCCTTAAAATCGAGGGTATACCTCTTCTAACTCCCACGTAGTACGCAGGCACGATCGTGGTGGACTGCAGGCGAGGCCTTTCTCAAATGCCAACTGGACCACCCGCGCCCCCAGGAGTTGGACAAGTACATGACTACAGCGACCAGTTTAGGGACTATGGCGTCTCTCATGTTGGCGGAGAGAAAGACAGCATTCTTCTACCGCCAATTACGTAAGAACGACATCCTACGTAAAAAACATAAATGTGGTGATTCTTTCACCATGCTGACGTGAAGCTAGTTCACACAGGGAAGGATTCCGACCAGGAGGACCAAGAGGACCAGAAGGACCACCGCCGCCACCATCACGGCGCCGCATGGTACCACACCCGCCACCGCCACCGCTAGGGCCAATTGTAACATACACGAAACGGGACCGGGTGCACTCAGAGGGAAGACCCAGATGGCCAACCAAGTCACCCGGAAAGGTTATGGAGCTGAGCGAGCACCAGCTCCTGCTACTATTTCCAACAACCAGGGCATTCACCCTCAAAACCAAACAGTGGTGTAAGCATAGACCCTTCACCATCAAACATCCCGACTGACTTCCAACCCCCCGAAGTTGTGGTTCAGCCAGACCAAATCGTAGAACTGGAAGAATCGACCGAAAGTATTGCCAACTTGGTGTTGGGGGAGGCCGAGTTGAAGACCCTCAGAGCTTTGTCGACGCGACAGAACAGCAAGAGGGACATATGGGCTGCCGACTTCATAGAAGGAAAGGGCACTGGTCAGATTATTCTGCTGCATGGGTAAGACTCCTGATACTGCGTGATGTACACCGGCTGACTCTGCTGGGCAGGCCTCCCGGTGTCGGCAAGACATATACGGTGGAAGCGATCGCAGAATACTTACATCGTCCACTACTGTCTCTTACTATCGCCGACATCGGTACCGTCGAGAAGGAAGTTGAACGTGAGTTGATAAAATGGTTTGCATTAGCTGAAGTCTGGAATGCGGTTCTTCTGGTGGATGAAGCAGATATCTTCCTGGAGCGAAGGCAAAATCGAGACCTCGCCAGGAACGGGTTGGTTGCAGGTGAACATCCCTACATATCTCCACCTGGCCTTACTATGGAGAGACTGACAAGTGTGTTTTAGCCTTTCTACGCCGCATGGAATACTTCAAGGGTCTTCTCTTCCTAACGACCAACCGCGTCGGCCAAATCGACGATGCGTTCATCTCGCGGGTCCACGTGGCAATCGGGTACCAGGCGCTGACTCCCGAAGTCCGCGTCAAGATCTGGGAAGGCTTTTTCCGCAAGCTGCTCAAGGAGCGACCCGGTAAGATCCAGATCGCCGCGGGAGCGAAGAAGTGGGTGCTAAACAAGGCGGCATCCGGAGGCGCGCTGCTGAACGGCCGCGACATCCGGAACGCCCTGCAGACGGCCATCACGCTAGCCGAGGCCGAGTGCGAGGAGGATCCAGACTTCGACCCGGAGACGATGACTGTGGTGGTGGAGCAGGCGCACTTTGAGCGCGTGCTGGAGATCAGCAATAAGTTCCATACTTATGTGGAGAGCATCAGGCGTGAGGACGAGAAGAAGCGGGCTGCGGGCCGGTTCGATAGGAATGATTATTGGGCTGCTCAGCAGGGGGATGATGACCGTGATTAGCATATCGCAAAGTAACGTTTGAGTTTTTTCATTTGGTTTCTTATTTGGGTTATAGGCAAATCGATCCTATGTAATGAGCGTTGCTATAACTCCCGAGCTATTTCAAATCATTCAGGAGACATACATGTAGTATACATCAAAATCATGACGAACGCAAAGACAAGCTCCAGACATTCCCACACCACCCGTAGAAACATGGTTCGCATTCAAGCTGCCGGATCACAGCTGCTCCATTGAAGCGATCACATCAAGACCTCAAAGCTTGCACACGAATGGAGTCACTATTCAGGGCCAAAGCCAGCCAGCTCGCTCTCAGCCGTCACCGCCCACGACGGTCGCGGCGAGCGCGACTTCCTCCCCGACCGCCGCCGTTGGGAGTCGTGTTCGGACGACACAGACGGGATCTGCGAGCGCCATCGGTCGATCCGGTCATCCGTCTCCCCGTCGGATACCAGATCAGATTGCTCCACACTCCGCTCGCTGTGGACTGACCCGGAATCTTGCGCATGGCCCGATCGACGCGCGTTTTCAGTGCTAGCGCTCGACTCGGGGTGAACCGCGGAATCTGGAACATCCGGCAATTCGACCATTTTGGCTTCGGAGCAGTCGGCCGGCAGGCTGGCGGCAGTCGGGCTCGGCGGTGCGAGTGGGGAGTGCGGGATCGACTCCATGGGCGCCGAGCGGGTGGGCGACAGCAGATGGAAGCTGTGCAGGCCGTTTGTGTTTGGCGGCCTCGGCCACCGTGCCTCCCTTAGCTGGTCGCTATGGCGTCGGGCGGCCCGAAGCTTTTCGATGGCTTCCCGCCTCTGCTGGGCTTGCTCTAGTGCTCGTTCTGTGGATGGCGACACCTTCCTCGTTGGCGTGACCTTCTCGCTGGCTGTCCTGCCTCGCTCGGTCGGGGTGCGAGCCGCCGACCTGTGTGAAGGTGGCTGGGGCGATTCCGCCGGCGGCTTCTCCGGCAGCTCAGGGTCTCCTCGAGGGCTCGTCCTGCCCTTCCTGGGCTTCCGTGCTTTCTTGCTGATGTTGCTGTTGCGGCGCCAGACCGTCCAGCCTAAGGCGGGGAAGAGTATCTTCCTCTCGGCCTGTTGCACGGCGTGGTCCGAGACTGTCCGTGGGACGGCATCAGCTGTCTTTCTTCGCCGCCGAGTAGACCAGCTCAGAGCCGGGAACAGTATCTGGCGTTCGAACTGGCGATAGGGTAGCTGCGACTGTGTCCTCATTCCGTCTCCAAGCTTTGGCCGCATCGCGCAGTTTTGGGAGCTCCAACCATCGTTGGTCGAGTTCATGTCAGCAGCCATGTATTGTGGCTGCTGTTGGTCCAACATGTCCACGTCGGAGCCCATCCTGATTGCCTTCACGCGTGCACGAGACTTTCCGTGCTCCTTTCCGCCTATGGTGATGAATGTGGTCTGATGCAATGGCAAATTCTTGTCCACGGCCAGCGGGCACCACACGAACTGAACGTCCCAGATGCCGTGTACTGAGCTGTATTGGTCTGCTGGTAACCAGATAAGTGTCTCAGGTTTCATCGATACTGGTCTCGCTCACGAGACTGACTTTTGGGTGCTGCTTTGCTGCGACATTCGTTTCCTTGAGAGCTGTGCGGAAATTTGAAGGACGGCACACTTGTTTCTTGTTTCTTGTTGATTGTTGTGATTGAGGGGCTTATCGGAATTGTTTGTATGACTCGCGAGCAGTTTGGCGAAGATGAAAGTGATGGATGGCTCTATGAAATCCACGCTATCAGGTCGCGGTAACCAAGAGCGTGCTGGATTGGATCACGACCAGCTTCAATCCATCAACACAAGAGAGTTTGTCGTCGGTTTGTTGTGGTGCAGGTGGCCGAAACACGAGTGGACATGACTTAGAGCCCCGTTTTGCCATTTAGGGGTCAGCGGCGTCCCGCTGTGGACCAATCCAACGCCGGGACAGCCCCATCACCTGGGATACAAGGGGTATTAGGGCGATCAGCTGGAGGCCTATCAGGGGTGTACAGGGATACAGGGGGTACTCATCAGGGGTATATCAGATCCCGCTAAGATTGCCTTCATGCGAGATGCAATACTCGAAGTCCATACATACACTGAGTAACCCTCAGGTATGAAACCACATCACACTCTCGACTCTTTCCTTACACCATACCAGCCAACCATCTCAGTGCGACCAAGCATCGGCTAGGTACACCGTGAACGAAATGGAGTGACAAGCAAAACACCTGCCATGTGCTTTGCGCCCGTCCAGCCCCCGCCGATAGCTGGCATCGTCAATACCCAACCCCCAGTGTCGCCACTGCTTGACTTGCGACGACCACCAGCTGGACCACCTCTCTCTCGGCAGCGCATGCTTGTTCTTGACGAAGTTGCCGCCACTGTGCCGCATCGCCAATCGCAGCGGCTGAGTCCCGTGCATCAATCACGATCGTTTGGAGCGTATCGAGGACATCTATGATCTGGCCCTCGAGGCTAGTACGACCTTGTTCCTTGTTGGCCAAGTCGATACTTTTGTGCTTAAGCTGTTAAATATAAGCTGCAACATCTGCATTGAAAAGTGACCACGGTTCTTCAATCGTCAACCCTAGATCGATCCCGTGTTGTCTAGCACCACGTGCCGGTATGCGGCTTTTGAACTCAGTCCCAAGAAAAAGACCTGCGATGCTTCCCGGCTTCAGTTATCAGTTGCCGATACTAATTCGCAGCACAATTCCGCCTTCTTTCTCAATGACCTTTTTCTACTTTCCACTTTCCCCTTTCTCCTTCTCGCCGTCCCCCCCAGAGATAAAACTGCCCGCATCAACCATCGGCCCCTTCACAGCGCCCACCCCAGCCCCAACACCCGCGCCCAACGGCGCCGTCGCCACTGAACTCGTCTACATAACCCATTAGCACACACTCTCACACTCTCCCTTCCCTCTCCCTCTCAACTCAAAAGCGAAAGATTGCACATACCCCACCGACAACAGTCCCCACCACCGTCCCCAGCCCCGCCCCTGTCGCCAACCCAACCCCCCCGCCCGCCGCCGCCCCCTGCAGCGTGCCGCTCTGCAGCGTCTGCAGCGTCTTGTTCTGGTTCGCGGCCTCGGTGAGCAGCTTCTTGCGCTCGTCTGGGTCCTGCGCGCGCGCGGCGAGCTGGTTGGCTTTTTGCGCTTGCTTGGCTGCTTCGCCGGCCTTCTCGATCGCCGAGTCGTCGAGGTAGCCCTCCGCTTGAGCTTTCTTCTGCAGCTCTTCGGCGGATGGCTGGTCCGAGTTCGAGTCTGGTGAGGGGGTTAGTTGTTTGAGTGAGATGTGGTGCGGGCATTGGAATTGTTGCCTTTGTTGGATTGGTCCTCCTTGTCAGATTTGTCCGCCTTATTGGACTCGTTGGACTTGTTGGACTTGTTGGTCTCGCTCTCGCTGGACTTCTTGGACTCGTTGGCTTCGCTGGACTTGTTGCTTTCGTTTGCCTTGTTCCCTTCTTTCGAGCCCTGCGTATTTTCCTTACACTCTGCCATATTTGCTAGTTAAACAGTCAAATCTAGATAATGCTTTCGACGCAAGCCCAAGTTTGCAAATGCGTGGACTGGGACGCAAGGATTACAAGGGCAGGGCAGGGTGGCAGGGCAGGGTGGCTTGGAGCGAACAAAGGAACCTTAAAGCGTTTCTAAGGTGGGAAGTCACTAGTGACGTCACGCAAAGCCTGGCCCGCCGTCGCGCGGCCATGCCGTCACCTTCCAAGTTGGTATCAATGGACTAGATGGATTAGACCAGATGGACAGAGATACCTTGGAATGGCTGTACGTTGAGTGCAGTTGCAGGTATCAGGGTCGCAAGGCCCCGTCAGGTCTGGCAGCTGATCAACAGCCAGATCAACAGCCAGTTGCACGGCCAGATCAATAGCTAGATGACCATGCTGTTGATTGACGAAGTAATTGCAATCAACTAGATGGACTAGGTAGACAGAAATACCTTGTCATTGCAGGTGTCGCAGTCGCAACGCACCGCTGGCCAGATATGGTGTGCTCAACTGCCCGACAGCTGTCAATAGACACAGTTGGCTGGCCACCTATTTGGACACACGCGAGGTGAGTCGCGCTCCACCACGCACTGAGGTCTTTGACTCGGAGCACACGTTCGTCGTACTCGAACTTGGAGCGTGTCATATTTCGGTACCTCGCAGGAGGCTTCCCCATTATAGCTATCAGTATTTGGCTGCAGATTAGGTAGAGGTGACTACCCGCAGGACCATAGTCGGTCAATACGAAGTCACCCCAATGCTTCGCCTTGCGCAACGACCATTCCTAGGCCTGTGAGCCACGCTCTGTCTGAACAGCCTCGCTCCTATCATCGATGGTTTCGGAGCTGGGCCACCTTTCTTCTGCAGGTTCCCAGTGTACACACCCGTCAACAACAAGTTCTCCATCCGGGGCGAGTCCTATGGCCAAGGTTCCGACCAACTCAACTAACGTCAATATAGGGGTCTCGTTCCGTTGAGTTGACAGTGTCAACCAGCTGGTCCCCGTTGAATGGATATACGTTGAGTTGCTTGATTGATACAGAATGTACGCTGGTAACGCTCTGATCTACGTCGACAACGCTATGACCAGCCATACAACTTCGGTAAGAAAGATAACCCTGAAGCTCTCGGGACAAATGAGGAGGTCATCTTCTCAATCACCGATCAGCTACTTTCCATCCACACTTGTTGATATGACGTGTTAGTCAACATCGTGTCGTCCATTGTCGTCCTACCCACGAGGTAGCCATGGGTGTGAATCAAGAAACGGTCCATATCCCATTCGGTAACTCTGAGGTTGTGTCGGGTGTGGCCATGTTTTCGCGCAAGGTTGGCCCAAACCCGTCTTTCCCCTTTACCCAGCCTGCAATGCCAGGTGCTTCGTATACACAAAGAGGGGACTTGCTTGTACCTGGTTATGGAATAGGTGAAAAAACACTCGCTCCCCGCTGTTGTGTTCCATATCCTCAGTCGCGTCAGCCGCGGCATCCTCTCGGCTGCTCTTGCGACCAATGTGAGGAACAGACGGAAGTGCTCCGGGTCCAAATATTCCGAGGTTAAGGCCAGTTGCTTCAAGCCAGCCCAATATGGCTTGCTTGAGTCCACCTCAGCATCGTCCATGAAATCCCGGAAGAAATCAACGGCATCGACTACAAAGCAAACGGATAGTGATTCCAGCGCAGTGCTCATCCGCGCCAAGAGGGGCCCGAGGCCATCCGCATGGAATTCCCTTCCGTAACCTGTATTAATGGATATCGGATGAAGAAACTTGCTGTAGTCTTCGAAGAAGGACACAGTTTTGAGATGCTTCAGGCGGGAAAGGGCGCTGGCCAAGGCGAGGTACTGATGGTCGAGATGACGCCGGTGCTCGTCACTGATGCCGCGCCAGGGCTCGAACCACACTTGTTCGACATTCGGCAAAGCTGCGAGGATATGCCGCAAGCCCTGCTGTATCGAGAAACCGCGGAGGAATTGACGACGTATGGCAAATGTTCGGACTACCTCCGCTTTTGGCAAGTTCTGTGTGGCACGAATGGCACGATAGTCGAAGCAAAGTCCTTGGATTGGTCCCATAACTCTGCTTTTTGCCTCATAGCTGCTGTAAAGGGGCCGCATTCCACCCTGCCACTGGTGTGCGGAATCTTGGAAGAAAGGGTCGGACAAAGACCTAATAGGTCGATCTGGTGAAGCCCACGGAATATCCTCAGCTCGTCGAGATATCTCTTTGAAACGATGCTGGCCGTCGCTAGGGGAGTGAGCACTCAGGTCCAGGTTCACCCAGGCCTTTGCTCGACGGTCCCAGGTACGTAAGATGCTAAAGAGCTTCCAGACGGCCCTAGTGAAGATCAGATTGTTCGTCCTAGACTCGGCATCCGACTCCTCTGTTTCGCATCTTTCGCAACCGTACTCAGGCAGCTCGATCCTAAGCCAAACGGTTCGGGCGAAACCTTGACGATATTGGGGTCGATACACGCGTCTGAACGCCTCGAGATCATCTTGGCGTAGTTTGACAAATCGGAAGTTCCTTTGCTCAAAGAAAAACTGCCACTCCCGACAGACTGTCGCGTGTCTCGATAGCCAATACGGTGGTGCTTGGGACTTGTCTTCGAGGACGAATTCGAGGACCATTAGCCGAAGCTCCGGCGGTAGGTCCGTGAAGGAGGGAACATGGCCCTGGGTTTCGAGGACGGTCCGGCATCGCTATCGGTAGAGGGGCGAGAAGATGATACTGGCTATGATGCTGGTTGTGATGTTGGTTGCGATGCTGGGTGTGATGCTTGTTGTGATGCTGGTAGGACGAGTTGTGTGGGGTGCTGCGGGAAGAGTTCATCTTGCGGCTGCCGTGGAGGGACTGGTCATTTTGTATGGGGTTGGGAGTCATCGGAGGAAGGGACGAGACTCCGTGTTCCCAAGCCAGCAGATTGAGAGAAGGTATCGATTTTGAAATCAGTTCAGGATCTGCCGCAACCTTGAGCAAGAACGAAAAAGATAAAAATGAACACCTCGGTGGTTCATGGCTGAACTCTGTTCATCTTTCTCCCTTATCTGGTACGTACCTTACACTCAACCCTCATAAGTCTTCGTACGCTCATGTTAGCAAGACTCCAGATTACCAATAGGATGGTTGTGAATACTAGAATAAGCACACAGGAATAAGCAGCTCCAATCTAGCAAGTCCCATGTGAGGCTTATTCCAGCGTGCTTATCCCGTTTATGAAGAATGCATCTTTCGCTTGGTGAATGAGGGGCGTACGGAGACTTATGAGGGCTCAGTGTAGCGACGTTATGCCGCTACTGAAACCTAAAGGAGAAAGCACCGCCAGGGAGGAGGAGCGCAATTTTCTCATTGACATTCCCATCCAGAGCCACGCTTTCGCTCCTTTCCGTATTGTTATAAACTAGCGCAGTGGCGCCGTCCGGCACGGGCAACACCACGCCTCCCGTCGTGCCCTCGGGCGTCGCAACACTTCCCGTCAGCCCGCCCACGCCACCCGCCGCTAGCTGCCACGAGCTAGAAAACAAACCCTTCGGCGTCGTGAAGCCGGAGTCCACCCGCGCGACAGCGGTCCCAGCTGCGGCTCGACCGACCATGTGGCGCCCCCGGCACCGGTTAGCTTGAGCCCAGCGGCGAAGAACGTGAGCAGGGACGTTGGCGCCGTCGACCACCCGTGCGCGTGGCTGATGCGCGCGTCGGAGCCGGCGTAGGGCGCGTAGCGAAGGCTGCCGTCCGTGGAGTAGCCTTCTATGAAGGTGCTGCGCGTCATGCGGGGGTCGTCGAGCATGAAGTCGGCCCACCTGTTGCGTCTCGTGTGTTAGTGGATCGATCATATGAAGCTACAATCATCCCCCATAAGTCTCCGTTCGGCATCCCTCTATCAAGTCGAACATGCCGGTATTATGTTCATATTAATTGAAGAAGCACCCTGAAATAAGCAGCATGAATCTAAAAGGCTATCTTAAATGCTTATTCCAGAGTGCTTATTCAATTCAAATGAATATAGCAATGCCTCGCTGAACGGTGGGTGTACGGATACTTTTGGAGGTTCAGTGTATCTCAAAGCGGATACACAGGCATGTGACGTTATGTGTGTGTATGAGAGGATGGCTTACATGAACTCCATCAGGTCGACCGCCCGCTCGGGGTGGCCGGCCAGGAAGTGCGCCTGCAGCTCGAAGCCGGAAGCGAACGGTGAGATCGTGTCGCCGGCTTCCGGGGCTGGGGCGCCGTAGGGTCGGATCCAGCGCTGCTGGAGCGCCGTGCTGATGGCCTCTGCTTGGGTGGCGTTGGTGATGCCGGCAATGACGGCCCAGGCGTTGCCGTCTTTGGGATGGATGTCATTGTGGTATGGACTTCCGGCTGGCTCGTCGTTGTCCCGGTATAGTGACTTGGAGGCGTCCCACAGTCTCGAGTTGATCGCGTCTGGTATGGGGTTGGCCGCCTTGGTCCAGGCTGCGTTGGAGGCGTCGTCTTTCCGGTCTACTGCTAGGCTGATGGCGTTCTTAAGCGTGTAATACAGGATTGAGTTCGCCTAGTAAGTGTCAGCTTTAGAGTTGCAGTCGCTGGGGCAGTACATCAAATAGGAGTTACTTGCCTCGACGTTGTGTCCCCACATACCACTTCGCAGCCAGTCACTCGTGCTATTGACATACGCAAGTCCCGATGAATCGACAGCCTCCAGAGCCCACTGAATCGCGAGCTTGTACTTATCCCACACAGATAAATACCACTTATCAGCCGTGAGGCGATAATAGTCGAATACCCCGTTCAGCGCATGGAGGTGGTACGTGTAGCTCCAGACGCCAGGGCTGTATATCTCCCAAGGGGTCCCTGCGTACGGGATCCTGTCCTCAGGTGTTTGGCGCGTGAGCAAGGCATCGACACCATTGCGCATCGGGTCCGCGATGCCGGTTGCCACGAAGAGGGAGTTTCCCGGAAACGGACATGTCGCCGGCCCAGACCAGGCGGTCTCGCTTGGCTCCATCCACAAGAACAGACAACATCGCTAACATGCAAACTCCTCGTCAGTATCACAATCTTCTCCCCAGGGAAAAACGTGTATAAGAGCAGTACTGCTCACCTGGCTCCGAAATCGTCGTGTTGTATATCCAGTTGCTAGCGTTGATGCCGAAAATCGCGTTGCCGGTTGTCGGATTGATAACACAAAGCTGATTCGTGTAGGCACCGGCATGCCAGACCGGGTTGAGCTTCTCCCTGTCGCGAACCACCCCGAGTAGTTGTCCGGAGCCGGCATGTGCGGAGAGGCGGCCCATTCGACCGTGACCGAGGTGACGCCCACGGTGCCGCCGGTCGGGTGCACCACGGTCAGACATCTGAAGGCGCCCCTTTCGTTCGCAATGCGGTACGTGCCATTCTGTACAGTCGTGTCAGGAGTAGCATGTTGACGTGAATGGGGTGGATTGGTTGACACACAGTGGCTCACCGCTCATTATACACTGAACCCTCATAAGTCTCCGTACACGACCCTTTCAGCAAACCACGGTAAATTTATCAAATCGGAATAAGCACACCGGAATAAGCAGTTAGATCTTTATTAGCTTCCCCTGACGCTTATTCTAGGGTGCTTATTCGGTTATTTCTAATTATCCTACTGGTTTGCTGGAATCTTGCTAACATGCGCGTACGGAGACTTATGAGGGCTGAGTGTACCTGGGCACCTGCCCATTGAACGTGAATGACTGCTACTGATGACTTGGCGTGAGCTGCCCCAAGGTATTCATTCTGATTCGCTAGGGTGAAAAGATAATTCCAAACAGCTCTTGACTTTGCGTACAGCAAGAGCTCCGGATGGTGGATATCGTCTCAGGTCATGGCTGGCGATCTGAGATGGCTTATCAGCTGAAGCCTGGGACTGCACTTGTTCAGGTGATTCGAAATGTGACATCCATCTCAAGTCAGGGCAGGGTGGTGCTTATGTATTGATTTACTTGGTCAGGGTTTTTGATACACTCAGCCCTTATAAGTCTCTGTACGCACCATGCTGGGAGGTTTCCAGATCACAGTAGAGATTTAGGAATAATGGCATAAGCAGACAGTAATAAGCAGCTCTAGTTTGATATGCTATTGTTAATGCTTATCCCGGTGTGCTTATTCCGAATTTCCGAATTTCCGAATTGATAAATATACCGATGTCTGTTAGAAGGGTAGTGCGTGTACGGAGACTTATGGGGGTTCAGTGTATATCTAGTCTTTATCCTTATGTTGGCGACTGAGTCGTCATAGGCGCATCAAAAAACACGGCACGGAAGTTCTCAGCCACGGATGTCTTCCCTGCAAACTTGTCGACCTCCGCCTGACATATGTCCAGCAGTTCGGGCAGTGTTGGGCGTCTCCTCCTATTCAGTGCTGTACAGCGGCAGATGAGCGCTCTAAACTCATGGCTCAACGGCAGTTCCCTGAACTCGGCCTCTGAAAATGTCTTGAAGTTGTCCTCGTCTTCCTCTGGGTCGTCGTATTCCTCCTCTTCGCTGTCTGGAGATGGAGCCCTCTCTGCCACTATCCTTTCGCCGCTCCCGCTCTCGTCGCCTTCATAATCTTGGTTCTCGTCCGTCTCCATTGATGTGTCTCCAATTTCTTCTTGGGCCTCGCCATCCTGGTTTTCATCGGTATCCATTGATGTGTCTCCAATTTCTGCCGAAGTATCGGCTTCTCCCGATGCCATAGACGTATCTTCTGGCCCGGAGCCTGCTTCTGGCCCGGAAGCTGACACCATCGACGTGTCTCCGTTGTCTGCAGATTCGGTCGACGTATCTGCTTCTCCTGTCTCCATGGACGTGTCAGGATCTGAGCCCCCGTCTGGCCTTATGGGGCTCAGTGTCTTGCTGACGCCCGCTCTGTGGATCTTAAACTCGGAGCGCTGCGATGATGGTCTGAATGGGTATATTCATAACCGCAAGACGAATTATGAGCTGATGTAAGATGAGCTCCTTTCCTCAGCGAAACGTCGCGCTAGGAAACTCACCAGTCCAATGTCGCGTATATTCTTGGCCATTTCCCCCTCGGCACTGTAATAACAGAATGTCAACACTTTTCCCCATTCAGGTCTGGCTCGCGTGATTGATTCACGTTTGGGACTGTCATACTCTGTGTATACTTTCGCAAGGCCAAAGTCAATCATCTGCATAACACCTGTCAGGTGTGCAACTTCTTGTATAGGGTAAGGAAACCACGTGCCTTGAGTATGGGCACGCCTCCGCCATGTTCGACATCATTTACAGCATCTCCAAAAATGACGTTGCCACCATGCAAGTCGTTATGGCACAGTCCGGTGGGCGCTCGTCCTGCGGGGATCACCTCCCTCACAGGAGGCGCACCTGGGTCCCCGTTTGGTGGGTAAGCCATAGCGTCGCATCCTCGTGTCACTATCCGGTGCGGAATGGTTGTCAGAGTCTGTTCGATGAGTGGCAATATCGCATCGCGAGGGGACACCCCACAGCATAAGAGCCAGATCCACAGCAACTCCTCGTCGAGAACTTTCCCTTCGTTCTTTCTGATGAACTCTTCCCCATTGCCGCCGGGGACGCATTCCAGCACGCAATATTTCATGTTCCAGACAATGGGGTATTATCCCCAGAGTCTATAAGCAAGGTGGTCCCCAGTGAAAAACATCCCCGTGTAATTCGATAAGCATGGTTGAATGAGTGGCCGCCTCCCCAAGTATCCATATCCCCAAAATTAAGCATCAACTTACCTCGTAGTATTTCACTTTATCATCATGCTCATCAGCAGGATTTTCCACAGCGATCAGCTGAACTACGTGCTCTGCTCCCCTCAATGATTCCAACTTTGGGATTTCATCAATGAGATCCCAGTCCCACCCGATTCCCTGCTTGATCACTACCTGGCGTAGGATGTCCCCGGCGGCGTTGCGCTGGTTGGCAAAGAAGCGCCCCGCCTGCCGCAGAATGGAGGCTCTTCAAGTACTCAAATCTATGCCTTTCGTTGAAATAGTCGGCCAGATTCCTTGCTCGCCCATCAAGGTCCGTGTAGGCCTGTGTTAATCTGTAAGGTGGTGGTAGAGCCATTTTGATACAATTTTCCCATGGTCGGTGGCGAGATAATGCTCAGAGACAATTGGATTGACGAGCCCTTGCCTACCTCCGTCATCCGTATACGAGGGGAGAAAAACAATGGAATGGAAACTACCATGCCCCCGAAGTATAATGCATTCATCATGTGGGAAATTCCAGTCATGTCTCAGTCTCATGGCCGAGAACGGTACACAGTCGGCTTTGTTCCGGGTTTTGGGCCAAGGGCAACCCACAAGCCGGTCAGCAACTTGCTCGCCTTCACACGCAGTTACAGACTCAATCGATAAGTCATATAGTCTGCCAGTGCTATATAGTCATGACGCGACTAGGCACATTGTATCGCTTATTGGAGTCCCTTGAGGGGCGTTGCCGCACATGTCTCATAGCACTATGCTGTGAACTACTGTGTACTATTGCGCATGTCGACCGATAAATCTAATTTTGTACACGTCAGGCAATCCCGAGCTTACCTACGCATCGAATGGGACGAGATGCCGAACTCTAAGCTCGATACTCAGCCTGCAAGTGGAAGCAAGCTTGCTAATCGCACAGTCACACACCTCCCATTGTAGGGTGAAGCTCTGCGGAAGCAGGTGAATGAGCTGCTGAAATAGATGTCGCCCCCAACACGGTGCAAATGAGCGCCGACCGTGGTGCAGCCTCGATTTTCCGCCCCCAATCTGCTGTGAGCGGAAAACCTGAATTTGAGCTACCAAGACTTCGGCAGCTGAGCACCCTGGCGCCGACAAGCCTCTCGATTGACGTAATGCCCATGCGACGGTGCCAGGGCCAATTAATGAGAAATCCAAGGATGCGGATGCGGATGCAGACACTCATCAGCCCGCCCGCCCCTGAGTGATCTCCCCATCTCTCTTTGGTGCAACGGCCCCCAACCGTTCATCCACCCCGCGCTGCAGTGTGACGACACTGCATCACAGCTCGTCGGCCTTGCCGAATTCGAGGCGTCTTATGTGCAGGTAGCCAGCGCCCCTCGTTCGATACAATTTGATTTTCTGGTGTGACACTGCAGAGACAGGAGATTGGGCGTTTCGGTGAAGCTTACCCCCTTACCGAACGCTGGAAAGTCGGAGCTCCCAACAGGGGACCCGCTTCTACCTTGGCTGACGGCTGACGGCTGACAGCAGCAGTGCCGGGTGCGAACGAAGAATGCCAGCTGCGAGCTCCTCTGCAGCATTCAAAGCCCCGCCAAGTCTGAGGTTAAATCGACTTCTGACCATCGACAATACCTCTCGTTGCGTCTTGTCAATGGCAACCCCTTGGACGCAATTGTCCTCCATGTCACGGCAACACGGACAGACGGACCTCACAGATCTGAGTCGAACCCGGTCGGCGAGCTTTTCTTCGTTCTGTTGTGCCACCCACCCTCGCACGAGGCCAAGGATCGCTGCATCGTAGCCTGCTTCAGGCTGAGGATTGAAGCTGCATCAAGCGATAGACCTTCTATTTCCAGGCCAGCCCGCTTCTGCACGCGACGATGACTTGTAGCCAACGGCAGCCTGTTAGTATTCCGGCGGACACGCCCCCGAGCCTCCTCGGGCCGTGTTCATGACAAAAGACCGTCGTCTCCTCTCGCCGGCTGAGAAACGGCCCCCAAATACTGTAGCATCCCGGTGCAAGGTCATATTCTGTCCCACCTGCTTGGTCCTTGTCATGAGCTACGATTGGTCCTCTTGGTATCGACCTGCAGGCACTCCACCAACATGGCAACATCAAGATCCTGTCCGCGGTACCTGCCAGCTGCAACCCGAGGCTGTTGGTTCCCCTTCAAGTTCCCTGTGCGGCGCTTCGTCAGCGTGGCTCTGTCATTGGGCAATGCCATGGGATCAGCTTCTTCTATTGCCGGGATGTGCTTCCGAGACTCATAAGTACCTAGGGTGCACCATCTCTCCATGCTCGCCTGGGACTCAAGTAAATGTGGTCTCACCGTTTCCTTTCCTGCCAGGGCCCCTTAGAGCTTCAATGGCCAGCTCGCCATTCTACGTCACATTCCATCCCAGTGGAATGCTAGCAACACAAGCGACCGGCCACTTTCAAGAAGATAGGGCGGTCGCACATCAGCAAGATGAATCGTCTCAGCTCACCAAGAACGTGTCTCAGTTCCGAGAAGCACGACGACCGGATAAAGGACCACCTACTGCACTACCTTGGGTGCCTCGAATTCAGCGATCGAGAAAGCTTTTTCGATGAGCTGGCCTCCGAAAAGAGGGAGGCTTGGAAGAAAAATTGCCACAGCGAATTGCGCCGTATCGACTTCCTCCGTGTGAAGCTTGCTGAGGACGACAATGACAATCACCTGGTGGATCAGGTGGAAAATAGCCTTGAGAAATGGCGCAAGTCTACCGAATACGAGGCTAACATTGGCAGAGTGAAGGAATGGCGCCTGAAGAATGGGAAAAAGAACGCCCAAACCCCCTCTATAGGTAAAAGGGAGCTCCAGGAATATGTGCCGAAGAAGGACTATGTGCCGAAGAAGGACGTTTCGGTGCCTATCATTCAGATCGAAAACCGCCGAGGTGTGGATGAGGATGATGATCGAGTTTGGGGCAAATTCCCGAACCAGAAGACCAACGTATTCCAGCTACTGAAGCAAGATGAGAAAGAAAAGAACTTGCTCTGCAAAGAACGTCATCCCAATCGAATCAGATATTTCCATATTCCATCGAACAACATGAAGGTAAGCAAGATAGTTTGTTCCACATTTTTTGCCTTGTTCCTGACGCACGAGACTGACTGGTTTCTAGTGGGCTGAAGTGGGTGCACGCAAATTACACGAGTATGGCCTCTACTGATTACCATCAGGAAGCAATCAGCGCGTACTTCACCGAGGATCCTCCTGACTTCGACGCCATACATAGCGAGGTGGGCCCGGCCAAGACAAGAGCTTACATGGTTCTACGAGAGCCCTATTGGCGTAGCCAGATGCACGGAGGGTCGCCAGCACCACCCCATGCTCGATACCTCAGACCACTGTGCTCTACGGTGTCTTCATCAAGTAGGTGTCCGTCTGTTGGCAGGTTCTACTGCGCTTTACTAACGATACTAAAGCTAACAAGGAAACGGACGGCTTCCCTAAGAACCTGGTGCTGTTTGTGAGTGCGCGTAAGTGTGTTCGGGTATTCCATTGATAGGCTGATTGTCCGGATGTAGATGCCTTACCTTCATTGGGATACTTCGAGGAAGCGAGAGCAGTTCGCTGGAGAGATCGATAGGATCATGATGGAGGCCGACGTGAAGTCCAAGGAAGTTGAAGAGAACGAGAAAAGGCTTCGTCAAAGTAGACGGGAGGATCTCCATGATGACCTGAAGCGCCCACATCCCGGACAGTCGAAGTCAACGCGCAAAATAGAGACAATGAGTACGCTTGTGTGGAACATGACGGGTGTGAAGCCAATCCGCCCACAAGCCGAACATTCCAAGTCAGTGCCCAAGATAGAGACAATTAGTACGCTTGTGGGGAACATGACGGACGTCACGAAAATGAACGCATTCAAGAACCGACTGCCGGTGGATGAGAAAGGCCGCGTGGAGGTGGTAAACCCCCTTGGGCAATACCTCCTTGACGCCGCGAGACTCTACGAAGGCATTAGCAACTATCGAGACAAAATGCTTCTACGGGCTTATCTCTCCCAGGACCCTCCCATGCATCCACGTCGGACCCTCGACCAAGCCTACTACTGGACCATCAACTCGACCAGGAAAAGAGATCGCGACCAGGTTGTGTACCGTGGCACTACCGCGAAACCCGAAAGGTTCCACTCGTACAACCGCGAAGCTTGCAAATGGACTGAACACGAGGACTTCGACATCAAGGGACAATGTGGGGAATGCCGAGAAAACATCAAAAAGGTTTCCAGGGTCATAATGGTTGACCAACTCTGGATGTGGATCTTAGACGAGAAGACCATCATCACTTGCTTTCCCAAGCGCTACGGTACCAACAAGAATGACTCATCCGGGGTTCAGAAGTCCATCCGAGTACGCCTTAAAGACAATGGTCCGGACCAGATCCGCACTGTGTTCGATCTGGGCCTCATAGTCATTGACGAATGTTCCAATACCTTCTTTGATCGCACCAAGACAGCCGATCGTCAGCCGCAAGTCATTGATGAATTCTCCAAAGCCATTGGCAACATTGTAAGCCATTTCCGTGGACCTGATCTGTCTTGAGCTAATTCGTGTCAAGATGCATAAGCAAACGGTTGCATTCGAGAGGCTCTGGCGTTGGACTGACGAAGCGCGCGATGTTTATCGGTCGAACAGTAACGCGGATACGTCGAATCTGCACGTGCCTCTACTTGACATTAACCCCGAAGGCAAGATCGAACGAGAAATTAAGGATATCATCGAAGAACTTGATATCATGCTACACATCAACAAGACGCACAGCGAGGTCCTGAAGAACTTCATCTTCAACGTCGAGCACATTTTGGACCCTGATGGTTCATTCGGGAAAGCGTACAAGCGCGGCAAGACAAGCCGAAACCATGTGGCGGCAGCTCGGCGCAAAGACGGAAGACCAACAAGCCAGGGCAGCGGGAGTCAGCCTACTCCAGACCACCAGGTAGAGAAACGCAAGGATGACTATCATTGGTTCAAGCTCAACGCCGATGAGCGCCTCGCGAGCGTTGCAAGGCGCATCGAAGAGCTTGAAGAGCTGCGAAGCAGTGCTTTGAGTACTGCTGAAAGCGTAACGTCCTCCTCTCAACGTCTTCGTGGTCGATAAGCTAATAGATTGTGCTCTAGGTCAAAGTTCTCCTCGAACTCAAACAACAACAAGCAGGCGTTGTCCAGGCTTGGCAAGCCGTCAAACAGTCTCAAGAGACTATCAAGCAAGGCCGTTCCATCATGATGTTCACACTTGTTACCATCGTCTTCGTGAGTGCAGCGCGAGCCTGCCGGATGACCCAGACTAACAACTGCAGCTCCCGCTCTCTTTCTTGTCGAGTGTATTCGGGATGAACAACATCGAGTTCTCTGGCGATAGCTGGAGCATTCGTGAGGAATTCAAGTACATGTGTATGCCGGCACTTCCCTCTTCACTGTCACACATCACGCTGACCGATGCTTCCTAGTCCCCATCTCCGCGGGTGTCATCTTCCTCAGTCTGCTCTTTGCCTTCAGCGCCTGGGTCCGAGCCGGCATCTGGTACCTCTACAAGTGGCTCGAAACAGCCGTTGTGGTGCATACCGGTATCTATGATCTGTGGCTCGACCTCAACAGCCCCAGCAAGGAAGTCCACCAGAGCATCACGGAGTGGGCGGAACGGCAGAAGGCCGAGAGGAGGAGGACGTGGCTCGACCGCAAACGACAAAAGCGAGAGGAGCTGGACAAAGAGAAGGAGAAGCAAGCAGAGGTGCAGTCGCAACAAGAGGCCAGTATGACAAGTGCGCGGGAGCCACCACGCAACGGCGTCCGCTTCGAAGAGACGACGACTGGATACGAGAGTTCGTTACAGAGTAAGCTAGCGATCCTTCAGACCGCGCAGCGTCCGACACTGAGTGATATGGAACGAGGTGAGGCGGGGACTGGCGAATAGGGAGGAATAACTCGAGATAATATCGCTACTCAATTTCCAATCTATCCAAGTACATAGACGTAATCCAAATTTCATAACTCTCCAGATTCCCCAGCAGGACTACCATAAGCTTCGGCCGTCTTCTCCTGCTGCCCCGCCAAGACGTCCTGACCCGAGTGCTGCTGCTCCGCGACCTTGAGACCCGTCTCTTCGCCATCGGCGCTCGGGACGCCCAAGTAGTGATCCAGGATCAGTCGCGCGACGTTCATGCCCATCAGGGCGCTCGTCTCCATCGTCGATATGAAGCTCTCGATCCCCGACGTGTAGTACATACCGTCGGCGAGGATGGGATCCTGGAACGTCACGCGCGGGAACTTCTGCGGGTACGGGTGGAAGACGGTGGCGTGGTACCACGAGACGGGGTCGACAACAACGCTCGACTCATCATCCGCATTGGCGGATGGGGCAGCAGAAGCAGCAGTATCAGTCTCCGGCGGCGTGAACGTCTCCGGCACCGCAACGCCCAGCAGCTCCGACAGGAACGCCGCCGTCACCTTCTTGGGCGAGAAGATCTTGTACACGTACTCGGTCCCCGTGGTCCGCGGGTTCGTGACGACCTTGACGAGCGTGGCCGAGTAGAAGCCCGCGCTGCCGGCGCCGTCGGCGCCGGATTTGGGGGTTTCGTCGGGGTTTAGGGTTGTTAGAACTGAGATGGGGACCTCGGCCCCCGGCTCGAGGCCGAAGAAGGCCGCGCTGAGGCGGAACGGCGTCGCGAAGAGCGTCACGTGCAGCGTCGCGTAGGGGATCGCGTCGATCGGGTGCGGAAGCAGGTCCGGCGCGTGCGTGATGTTGGCGAACTGGTAGGGCGTGGCGAGGATGACGGAGTCGAAAGGGACGTGGTGCTGGGTCTCGGGTCCGAGGGCGGATGTTGTTGTGTCTACGGATGAGGACGATGACGATGTCTTGATGCGGTATTTGGACGCGCCGGACCCGGGCTCCGTGGTGATGGACGTCACGGATGAGTTTAGGTAGACGGTGGCTTTGGACGCGGCGACCATGGAAGAGAATATCTGCCAGTTGCCTCCTACTACGGCTTTTGCGCCCTCGGGCGCCATGGCTACCATGGTGCCGAGGCCGTGGATGTATTGCAGGTTCGAGGCATAGTTTACGCGGGTGCTTGCTTGGATGATGTCGTGGGCGAAGGGCCCGTCGAGCTGGAGAACCGCATCAGCACAAAAAGTGTCAGTCTATTAAAAGCCAACTCACCTTGTTCTCAGCCAGGAACTGCTCCCCCGTCAACCCCGTGACCTTGACCAGCCCCAGCTGATACGCCCTCGTAGTAAGCGACCGAAACGGGAAATACGGCGCCTCGTAGAGCTTCAAGAACGTGCCCACGGTCTCCTGCACGAGGCGGTGCGTGTAGTACGGCGCAGACCCGTACTTCCAAAACAGGCGCGCGAGGTTCCACCAGCCCCAGGAATTAGTGTTTTGCGTGTAGACGAAGCGCACGCCGTCCCAGACGCCCAGCAGGCCGTCTTCGTCGGTGCCGGACTCGCGGACCGGCAGGCCGAAGGCGCGCGTCGCGTTGCTGAGGATGTAGTTGACGTCGACGAAGATGGACGCGCCCACCTCGACCGGCTCGAGCGGTTCGGCGAAGACGTCGACGGTGAGCGTGCGCCCGCCTATGTGCGAAGTCTTCTCGAAGATGGTGATGTTGACCGCGAGACCGGAGGCCGCGGCGTACTGCTGCAGGTGGTACGCGGCGGATGAGCCGGCGGCGCCGGCGCCTGGGGATGTTGGGTCAGCCCCTGGTCAATCCGGGTCTGCTAGTGTGTATGTATGTATCATTTCATATTGAGAGAATCAGATCAGTGTGATCAGAGAACATGACTGCTTGGTAAAGACTCGTGATACAGTATGACTAGATAAATTATGTGTGAGATGAGCTGACTAACCAATGACGGCGACCTGCTTCACATCGTGTGAGTCTGCGACATCAGATGCGGCTGCAACCTGAGCCTGAGCTGAGAGTAGAAGCAGAAACGAGTATGTTGCGTCAAGCAGCCCTCTGAAATACATCGCGATTTAGGTATGCTGATCTGACTGTGTCAGCGATGAGGTGAGGTTCAGCTGATGATGCAGATAATAAACCAGACGGCATCAGATGCCCCTGCGCAACTTCTGCACAAGCCACAGCCCCGTGGCTGGTGCAAGTCGCCTCAGCCCTCCCCTGAATCGTCGTGCATGCTCGGTGTCTATTTCACAGACAATATGGGCAGAAAATCGATTCTTACGAGAGGCACGGTACACTGGAAATTGGGGGCCTGACGCACCTGCACACTGACACATCATGCTTCGCTGGGCACATTTTGGCGCCACAATGGCACACGAAGTACCGCATTTTCCAGGCAGCTCGTCTACGGTGTGCAGGGACCACCGTGCAGTAAGGCGCACACCACTGCTTGAATTCTCTAGTCTCATTGGTTCTAGGGTCCCGGGAAGCCGGCCCTATGCACGTCACCTTATCAGACGATAAGGATTCTGGTGTAAAGAGCCTGGCTTGGCGAACGGGTGGTCCCTGCACGCCGTAGACGAGTTATCTAGAAAATGCGGTAGGTACGCCCGAACCTTGCTGGACAACTTACAAGAGCATGGACAAGAGCACAGAACGCCACGTTTTTCTTTGGGTTTTCTGCTCAAGTATGATTCTTGCACCTCTTTCGCTGCATCTCATAAGATGCCTTTCAGTCAAATAGTGAATACAACCCATATCAAACCCTGTCTGCGGTGGCATCAACCACCATGTCTGAGTCGGATGACAGCGAGGTTGCCCGCAACCAAGAGTCCTGGGATGCGATTGCTCACCTGGCCGATAACCTCAATCAGGACTGGCTTGATCAGCACTACCTCGATATCGATGAATCCGCGTACAGTCAAGACTTGAACGAAGTCCTCGTTTCCACTGTAGGCGACCGCCAACGTCAGCCTCTGACAGAATTCCGCTACTTTTGGAAACTTCCTATCGAGCTGCGTCTCACCATCTTCGGTTTAGCACTCCCTCGGCGAGTCCACTGCATCAGATCGCTGCGTGTCTACACGACCTACCCCACAGCTTTCCCCTCGGTCGGTATACCGACGCTTGCCCGGGCATACCAGGAGTGGTGGAATGCCTCGATACACCGAGGATACGGGTATCGTTTCGAGAACCAGCTTCGCGAGTCAGTGCGGTTGGAATGGTTTGACCGCTACAACGACCTAATTTATATACAAAGCCTCCGCGTCTTCAATGCCTGGAAGGGATGGTCAACGATGTTGTGTAGTGCCACCACGGTCTTTAACGTCCTCGAGGTGGTTGAAGATCGATGGCGAGGCGCAGCGACTAGTGACATCTTTACAAGTCTGAGCAGAACGAGTATCTTCGACAGATCCAAGACCTTTCTCCTGTCCATGCTGACGGTTGAGTGCGGCGACGACCTCGCCATATACGGCGACAACACGACCGCTATGGTGGACCTGGACGATGAGAATCTCCCACGCATGCTCAAGTCAGTCTACGACAATGTGAGGTCCTGCAAGCCGGCGAATGTGCCGCATAAGAGACCCTCGCTGTTGCTAAAGCACCTTCGGAAGGAATGGGATGCGGGTTTGAAGAGACTCTCGGAAGAGCAGTGGTTGCAAAGCCGCCTCGATGTTACAGCCCCCAAGGACCCGACAATGTACACCAAGGAGCGGTTCGGGTACAAGAATCGTCGCTTCATGCTGGATCGGAACCATAGCGCGGTTGAAAAGTTGGTGCGCGCCATGCCAGAGATGCGACCGGTCATCGTGTTCGAGAAGAGAGTATGTGCCCCAGCATTTACGGTTCCTAGAGCCTAGAGGTGTTTCGGTCAAGTATCTTTATCTTCCCTGTGCAGGTAGTGACCAAGAGAATGACTTGCTGACCTCTTCCTCTTTGCAGTGGCCCTGCTTCGACCTGACCATGCTTCAAGACCATGGCAGCGCAGCACATCTGCGTGAACCCTCCGAGGCCATTTGGGCCGATGGCAGAAGCATGGACGGGCTGGAGTCCATCTCGAACAGGAGAGGCATGGTACTAAGTTACGAGTTTCTTGTGGACCGCCAGACGCGCTATGGTCCTTTGCCTGCGCCGCCTCCTGCCCAAAGTAGTAGTGGATGAGGTCAGGTTGTGAGAGCGAGCGAGGCGAACGAACAGGCTGTTACAGAGAATGTGACCCGCGGCGGGAAGCGCTGTCACGACTTTGCCGGACAGACCGAACCAAGACCTGACCGTGGGCATGCCAGCGATGATGGCCCAATATCCCCTTGACCTCGAGATGTGACCATCTTAGCGAGCCTTTTTTTAAGCGAATGGGATGTTTAGCGACGTATGCTTTAGATAGTTAATTCTGGAGCGACTGTTCGGCCGTAATATCTATGTAATAGTTGTGAGAAAAATCAATTAAACATTTTTATATACTTTATTGCTTGCATGTTGCTATAGACGCGTATAAAAAACGCGAACAATACACGCATTATGTATATAGCTAGAGGCTGTAAACAGGTAACGAGATTGGTGGCGCGGGAGGGGTGGAGCAGGCTCGCTAAGATGGTCACATTTCGAGGTCAAGGGGATATTATGCTAGGTCACTGAATAATAAGAATCTACCCGACAGATGCTCCTGCGAAGAAAAGACATTTGCTGTGTGATATATGTGCAGTATGTTGAAGCAGAAGTATGCGCATGAGACTGAGAGGGGTTGTATTCCACTTGGCGACCCCAGCTGGCAACCCATTGATATGTTCTTGCCGGCCCGGCAGCCCGGCAGCTGTACTCAGCCACATGCGAGGAGACTGGACCCGCCACGACCGCCACGACCTGACGAGGCTGCTGCGCCGGAAAAAAAGTTCGAGATACTGAGTGACCCGCCTTCTGGAGCTCCAATCCCATCTCAAGACCCAACCAGAGCTGCACCAGGAACACCACGAGTTTGCACATCGAGAAACCCGACCCCACGAACGATACCATTGCCAAGCGATCATGTCTGCAGCACAGCTTCTCAATCCCAAGGCCGAGTCTAGGGTGCGTCTGCCCAGCACCGTTCGCTGCGGCTTGTTCCTGTACTGACATCCTAGCAGCGGCGGGGTGAAGCTCTGAAGGTCAACATCAGCGCCGGAGAGGGTCTGCAGGAGGTGCTCAAGTCCAACTTGGGCCCGCTGGGAACTATCAAGATGTGCGTGCGCCCCAGTCCAGTTTGCACCTTCGATATCCCACGGTGCTAACACGAGATAGGCTTGTGGACGGTTCTGGACAGGTACGAGACACCCTGACAAGCCTACGGTCGACCTCGAGACTGATGGCCCCCTCTAGATCAAACTCACCAAGGACGGAAATGTCTTGCTCAGAGAGATGCAAATACAAAACCCCACAGCCGTCATGATCGCACGAGCCGCGACAGCGCAAGACGACATCTGCGGAGATGGCACCACATCCGTTGTTCTGCTGGTTGGAGAGCTCCTCAAACAGGCCGACAGATACATCGCCGAAGGATTACATCCCCGTATCATAACCGAAGGCTTCGAGATTGCAAAGAACGAGTCTTTGAAGGTGCGCAAGCGTCTGTGCTACGTTATGAGTACGCTTGCTGACCCTTGAATGCAGTTCCTCGACTCGTTCAAGCTACCCAAGGAAGTTGACCGAGAGCTGCTCCTATCTGTCGCCCGAACCTCCCTATCCACGAAGCTGAATGCCAACCTGGCCAAGAAGCTGACGCCCGATATCGTCGATGCCGTCTTGGCCATTTACCAGGCGCCCGCGAAGCCCGACCTGCACATGGTGGAGATTATGAAGATGCAGCACCGAACTGCCTCGGATACCCAGCTTATCCGCGGTCTAGCGCTCGATCACGGCGCGAGACACCCGGACATGCCGAAGAGAGTGGAGAACGCCTTCATCCTGACCTTGAACGTCAGTTTAGAGTACGAGAAGTCGGAGATCAACTCGGGCTTCTTCTACTCCAGTGCCGAACAGCGTGACAAGCTGGTCGAGAGTGAGCGCCGGTTCGTTGACTCAAAGTTGAAGAAGATCGTGGAACTGAAGAAGGAGGTTTGCGGAAACGACCCCAAGAAGAGCTTCGTCATTGTGAACCAGAAGGGTATCGACCCGCTGTCGTTGGATGTATTGGCAAAGAACGGCATTTTTGCTCTGCGAAGAGCGAAGAGAAGAAACATGGAGAGACTACAGCTTATTGCTGGAGGAATCGCACAGAACAGTGTCGAGGATTTGACCCCCGACATCCTCGGATGGGCCGGATTAGTGTATGAGCAACAGCTCGGCGAGGAGAAGTACACATTCATCGAGGATGTGAAGGAGCCGAAATCCGTTACGCTCATGATCAAGGGTCCGAACGCCCACACCATCACACAAATTACTGACGCTGTCCGAGATGGCCTGCGAAGTGTCTACAACATGATTGTGGACAAGTCTGTGGTTCCGGGTGGTGGTGCTTTCCAGGTCGCCTGCGCGGCTCACTTGAAGAGTGACGGGTTCAAGAGGACCGTTAAGGGCAAGGCCAAGTGGGGCGTCGACGCCTTTGCTGATGCCCTACTGATTATTCCCAAGACCCTCGCGGCCAATGCTGGCCACGACATCCAGGATGCTCGTGAGTTACTTTCTATTCCTACTCCTATCTTGTTGGTGCTAATATGCGTCCAGTGGCGTCCCTGCAAGATGAGCATGCGGATGGCAATGCTTTCGGTCTGGATCTGGTACTCGGTGAGCCCATGGATCCCACACAGGAAGGTGTTTACGACTCGTTCAGAGTGTTGCGTAACTGTGTGGCCTCATCATCTAGTATTGCAGGCAACTTGTTGCTGTGCGATGAGATGCTCAAGGCACGTCAAATGGGACGGGCAGGAGGTCCCGGCCCGGGAATGGATGGTCCGGAGGAGTAAGTCTTGGTTGACGCTAGATACCTTTGTACTCTACACGCAAAATGGCGTTCATGATAGACTTCAATGGATTGTGTCATGTATCACGTAATATTCGCCCAGTATGCTGGTAATGATACTGCTGAATGTCTATGAACCTTGGAGTAGCTGGCTATGGTTCTGGGAAATCAATGGTCATGATATTCGTTAAAACGCGAAGTCATTATTTCTTGGACCAGAGCAGAAATCCATATTATTTGATTTGATCATGAGAGCTCCTACGAGCTCGCTGCGTCCTTGCTCTGCTAACCCATGAAAGCCCGTCGCACATTCACTATTTGCTGAGTGCATTCCCATACATCCCAGCCGCGTCTAGCATACTTATGTGAGTTGCCTTCCGCCCTGTTCACCTATGATCTTCCATATAACATACTCAGGAATGTGCCAATGCCAGGCAGCAAAGCACCCGAAAGCGCCATAGGTTGACACTGGAGGTGCGGCTGTCACCGCACACGAGGGTGCTGCCTGGGAGGATTAAGCCTTGCTCGGGGCCAATGCCATGGACAAGACCCTGGCGTCTGTCGACTGTCGCCGGGACTGAAAGTAGGTAATGGAGCAGGTCGGCAAGCTGCCAGCCACTTCTATTGATCTCCTCCTCTAAGCTTCGGCGTTGGGCCGCCACGATCTGATCTGCTGCTCTCGCTTCTTGACGAAGTGCTCTGCATCTGTCGTGATACTGGCTTTTCAGGCGCCTTTGAGCTTGTGAAGACGCATGCATCTTGGTAAGAACTTGTTATTTGAACTGTTGTTGTAGGCTTCTGCGTCCTAGGCAGCATATCATCCTCTAAGGCAGAATCCCGTAACGCGAATCTTTGTTTTGTTTTGTATTTAACGTGGGGGATTGCTCCTCAGTAGTGCAAACCACGCCTCCCAGAGCCTCTGCATCGCAGGGTTGTGGAGGTATCAAGATAATAAGTACAGTCAGTCCCGCTCACGAGCCCATCCCCGTTGTTGCGGCGGTATGACCTTGGGTCATCCATCTGGTCCTTCAAGAACAGCTATCTATCGAGGACAGATTGATGAAAAGAATTTGCTCTTCTCCACGAATTTTGCCCATATGGTGCTCCTCTCCCCTAAGTATTGTAAACAAGCTGCCCTAAGCGAGTACCTAGACAGCAGCCAGTTTTTCCCCAGCCTCTTATAAAAGAAAATGTGTTGTGGTGTTTTCTTCTCACCACAGCTGCAGTGATCATTCGAGTCTGTATGCCCAAAGCGTTCATGGTATCTGGCAAAGTCGCCATATCCAGATCTGGCCGTTAGAAGTCTGTGTAAAGTACTCCTCTTAAAAGATATAAGGTCTCTTTTAATTACTATATATGAGTATATTTCTTGATATCTAGGTTCTGATTGGTCTTTTTATCATTAATTAAACTCTTTCTTGCCCTTTCTTTTGAGATCTCTCTTGACCCAAGAGATTGTGGGAAGGTTTGTTGTGTCTGTTTCTAGCATGGTACCCTCTTTTGTTAGTGTGTCGGTAGCTTCGTTGCCATCAATGTCTCTGTGTCCAGGAATCCACTTGATTGTCACTCCAGGAGTGTGTGCCGTGGCAAGTTCTTGGAATCGTAGAAAAATGTTCTGTGATGTCTCGGGTGGAGTCCCATTGAGCCTATCTACCACTGTTATGTTGTCCAGGCAGACATATAGCTGTTTTCTATGTCTAATTGCCCTGGCTGTTATAAGCCCTTGGAGAGCGCCATGGACTTCAGTATCTATTACTTCTGCTTAGAGAAGTCTGTCCTTTCCCCGGTATACTTTTTGTGTAGTGTTGCCTTTCCTGATGGTGTAGCCCCATCCAGTGCGGATTGTGCCTTTGTTGTCTAATTATGATCCATCTGAGTAAATGACAAGGTAAGTGTTCATATTTCTCTCTTATAACCATTCCTTAAAGAGCTCTGTCTTTTTGTCTTTGTCCTTTCAGATTGGGGGCTTTTTCCATGATGGCTTGGTGAGTATTGGTCTCTGGAAGTCAGGGATTAGCTGGAAATTCCTTTGTAGCCTTGTTGTTTCCTTGCAAGCTTGTACTTGGAGCCTGCCAACAAAAGGGTGTCTTTGGTCTAAACGTCCGAGTCGTAAGCCGTGACGCCGTCGCGTCCGAGTCGTAAGCCGTGACGCCGTCTTATTGCCTCTGCAAGAACTCCTGCTGGAGGAATCTGTGATTCAAAGTGTAGGATATGTCCAGGATGTGTTTTCCAGACCGGTAGGATAGCCCTGATCGCTATTCATAGTACAGCATCTATCGTTCCAAGAAGCCCCTTAATGCGACATGCTAATGTCTCACCTGAGCTCCTGATTTTTTTGATTCCTGGGTACCAGGCCTCTAAGCCATATGTAAGAATAAGAATAACACAAGCTTTCACAGCCCTCCTGGTTGACTTTACTGGGAGTCCTTTGACTGTGTTGCATAGTCCTCAAAGGTGATTTGTTACCTTATTAGCTTTCTTGGCCCAGTGAGAAACATGATCTTTGAAGTTTAGTTTTCTATCCAGAAGGACACCTAGCCATTGTATGCAATACTTAGCTGTTTTGTTCATTGTCCTGTGGCAGATGGAGGATTATTTGAGTTCTTTTTCTGCAAGAAATACATGATCTCGGTTTTATCAGGGTCAAATTTAATAGCGTTGTTGTATCCCTATTAATTAAACAAATGAAAATTTTTAGAAGCCTCTGTAACTATTTCCTTAAGGTTCTTTCTAATACAGAGAGTTGCTAGGTCGTCTGTATATACAAAGTGTCTTCTTTTCATGCCAAGTCGAGCACAGATTGGCTCGGTATACAGCATATAAAGGATAGGAGAGGCTGGTGAGCCTTGTGGTAGCCCGCAAGTGAGAGCTTTTATATCAGTTATGATACCTTTAAACTGAAACCCTTGCGGACCGCTCGGACATGAATGACTGGACCCATCTTATGAGAACGCCCGGCCAGCCCTGTTCTCTTATGCGAACCACCAGCCGTCCCATTAGGGCAGCATTAAAGGCCCCTTTCACATCTGACGTGACTACTGTTGCAACGAGGCCTTGGTCGAGGGCCTGTTCAATATCGTGTATGAGTGCAGCTACCAAGTCGGTGGCAGAGCGCTTTGGTAGAGCTCCAAAATGTTGTGGAGCTAGAATTCCAAGTTTGATAACAAACCAGGTAATTCTTTTCGCGATGAGTCATTCTAGGCCTTTGCCAAGACATGACAGTAGCGATATTGGTCTGTAGGCCCTGGGATTGGAGTAGTCTTTCTTTCCTGGTTTTGGGATCATCGACCCCGGTCGACCCCGGCCAGACTGCCCAAAGCCACTCTGAAAGCGTCCCCGACTCAAAAGCTCCAACACCATCTCTCATGGGCCTTCCTCAGGAGTTAAACGATATGATCTGGGCGCCTACACGCCCGCGACGATTCGTCAGAGCTAGCAGGGCGACACCCCTGGAAGGAAGCGCCGGGTCGATAAGGCGCAGTGAAAACATCCTCTTCACGTACGGTCCATCGGTCATTGTACACGTCTGCCGTGACTCTCGTGCCACCGCAGGCTCGTTATGTTCCCTCGACAAGGAATCCAATGCGAATGGTCCGACTACTTGGTTTGACCCAGCTCTCGACATTCTATCCATCGGCCAGAATGCCTTCGATGGCTTATTGAGTCGACTGACATCCATCTGGCTGAAGGTTCGGTCGGTTGTCGTTGAGACACCCCTTGGACATGGCTACAGAGACTTTGTTGCTAGAATCCGGAAAATTCCCGATATTCGAACTATTTCCGACGAAAAAATCAGGGATCACGAGGGAGACGATTTAGACGATGTCCAACCCCACCTCATACCATACCGCCTACTCCAATTGCTCCAGCAAGCGGACAGATTGCCTCATTCACGTACAATCAACCTTTTCCCCGCGCTACATTGCCGCAAAGAATACTACATCGATCCATGCCAGTGGCCGCCTAACATAATGGCGGCGATCTTTGGCTCGGACTCAGTGAGACTCATCGATCTACGGAACAAGGACGAAGTTTCAAGGGCAAAGAGGGTCCTATGGAGCCATCCTGCTACCTATAAGTTGGCCAGTGGGCTTAAGGAAGCATCGGAACTGGTGGATGACCAGAAGAATTCATACCGGAAGCGCGTCATGGGGCTGTCGAAGACTACCTGGCTGCAATCTTGCCACCGACGGGACATAGACGCCGGCCTCCCTACTGCAGAGCCAGACGAGCGGGGCCACTGGGACGAAGAAGGCGCCTGGGCAAAGGAGAAGCTGGACACCATGCCGGACATACGTCCTGTCTTACAACTCGTGAATCTGGACAAGCCATGGCTGCTGCGTCATTCTTAGGCCGTATACGGGGAGAAAGGGATACAATCTCTAAGTCGAGGCTTTGCTATAAATCCGCCCGTACCCTTCATTGCGTTGATTGGGAGGCTTCAGCAACGGACAAGAGATGGACATTAGCTAAAGCTCGTCATAATAATAGATACTTGTGATTAGCCTATGCATTCTTCTATGCCGACTAGGGAGAGAACCATGCGCATCCTGAAATGTAAGCTGAACACGGCTTCGTACAACCCTCATGCCCTTTTAGAGTGGAGGATCTGGAGGACGAAGTGGACACAGTGTTCGAGGGCCGTGAAATGAGAGACCATGGTGCCTGGTGCTTGTTGCTTTTTACGCCCGGACCCAGGTCATGTTGACGAGTGCGTTATGGTTAGAAAACTCGTTGAAGTTTGGTTTGCCTGCGTCTCAATTCACGGCAAGGCAATATCGAGGGTCCTCCTGGAAATACGGAGAGACTGCGATGGACTCGAGGAGTTGGCGAAAATCTGCGTGGAACTCACCAACTGATATCTTCAGGCAGAGCCGCTCTGCGCCAGTACGGTCCCAGAAGGCCACTTGCGCCGCCAGGGTGGTTCGATGATGTCCCGCCGGCGGACTGATAACGCAGGCGAATATTTTTTCCAGTGTTACGCATGTTACTAAGCAACGTGGGATGATCCGCACCGGGAGATAATCCCTCCAACAATACTGGTAGCTAAGGTAAGGCCAAGCGCGGTAAGGTCGGCGTCGTGCTCCCTGTTCTCCATGTTTCACATGAAGTTGGACATGTCTATAGTTCTCGTTAGCATGGCTTCGAGAGGATAATGAATCTCTGTAGCAGAATCGAGAGGCCTGGTCAACCCACTGTCCATATCGTAACGCCTATGTTGGCATTGTTCACAATGCAAATGGGTTATATTGTGATGGAATGGTCCAGGACCAGAAGGGGGTCCATGGCTACATGTAACGAATGATGAAGGCCCCTTGGCACGTCATAATGAATCCTTGGAGGTTGCTAACACCATCTACTTATATCGCAATCAAAGCTCTAACTGATGGGCTGAGTTCTGCTCAGTGACTCCTGCTATACTTAGGCAGTGGAACTCATCATGTATGAGGGTAATAGACAGCTGGCGACCACGACTATATGTATACGGATCTGTCTCGCTGTTTGCTTGCCATTCAGATTTGCTATAAAAGAATGACCTGATAGAAAACTGAACAAACTGAGAGCGAAACACGACAAAGAAACCAAGCTCGACGATAGATTACGTCGATGCCCTTACGCCCCCCGTTGATCGATGACCAGCGACTTGTAGGCAAGTGGATTGCGCAAGCGACTGCGGGCAATATGCTCGACCATTGACGTGCCCCCTGCCTTGGCGACGAGCCGAGCTGTAGCTGTCCAACCGGTCCGGCAACATCTTGAATCGAGTCAACACAGGTATTCGCTTCACAGGCACGTATACCGAGCACGAGTCGGCTGATCTTCTGCTTCCTCACAGCGACTAGGGTTAGGGTACGCCGCTAATCAGTCAAGGGCGACCAACCCCTATCATCGCCATAATTGAAATCAACTCCAAGGCTCATAGTCAGAACCGCTAGATGAAATCACCAGAATGATGCCATGCCGAAGCGACACCGGTGAGAATGTCATCGAGCGCGGCAAAACACCACCTGCCTTGACAGGCTGCCCAGGAAAGCTTGGGGTTGCATACCGAACGGGCCGGCCCTATCAGAGGCGTCCACCAGGATGGTGCGATCATCGCATCGATGATATCTATCTACCTCCCAATAACCTCAGCTGGGGGAAGGGAGCATCGACGACATATAAAGATAGAAGCGACCCCCCTTTCACCATGCTTCCCCCCTTTCTCACAGACCTCTCACCTTCCGACCTCTGGGCCGCCATCATGCACAAAATGGGCATCCTCACCAACGCGCTCTTGGCGCTCACCGCCGCAACTGCGTCGCTAACAACAGCCCTGACGACGCCGTCGCCGTACGTCGGCCCCGAGAACGGCACCCTCGTCGTAGTCGGCGGCGGCATCCTCAGCGACTCCATCTACCAGCGCGTGATCGACTTAGCAGGCGGGCCCTCGGCGCCCCTCGTCGTGATCCCGACCGCCGACGGCGCCGAGTCCTACGACGACGACGCAGCAGGCGCAGGGACGTTCCGCCGACTGGGCGCGACGGACGTGACGGTGCTGCACACGTACGACCGATCCGTCGCCAATACCGAAGCCTTCGTGGCCCCCCTCCTGCGCGCCAAGGGCGTCTGGTTCGGCGGCGGGCGGCAATGGCGGCTCGTCGACGCGTACGCGGGCACCCTTACAGAAGCGGCTTTCTGGGACGTGCTGGAGGCGCGCGGCGGCGGCGTGATCGGCGGGTCGAGCGCGGGCGCGTCGATCCAGGGCAGTTTTCTCGCGCGCGGCGACACGGCCAGCAATCAAATTCTAGTCGGCGACCATACCGTCGGGTTCGGGTTCATGCGCGACACGGCCATCGACCAGCACGTGCTGGTGCGCAACCGCATGTTCGACATGTTCGACATTTTGAAGGTCAGGCCCGAGCTGTTCGGTTTTGGATGTGATGAGAACACGGCTTTTGTGGTGGCGCGGAACGATGCCGAGGTTATGGGGGCTACGTACTGTGTTATTTATGATGGTGGGTTCTGGTCGCGCGAGGGTAGTGATATGAAAAATCTGCCGAATCCGTCGTCGGTCTTTTTTCTACTGAGGGAGGGCGATCGGTATGACCTTGGGGCGCGGAAGGTGGTTGAATAGGGGTGTTTGCATATACCCCTCGGAAACTGGTTTACTTCATGTTCCCTGCAGCAGTGATGTTCGTAAGGATGTTATATAATGCTCGGATTCGCTGTAAATACTAGCAGTTGCACGAGTTACGATCATGGTATGCTTCCTGACGATGGGTACAAATTCTCTTTGCTACCTGATGAGCAGAAATTTGATGCAAGTCTGTAAGTTGGGCACTGAATCTATGTCCAGAAGCGCAGCCGCATGTGGCTACGACACAGCTCATCATATGCCTGTTTCATATCAGCCACCTGGGTCACGACCGGTTGTAACTGAGCTTGGTGCTTGCCGGCAAAGGTAGTTAGATTTGGACCTCGGGTGGCTCGCTCTAATGACACGTTGAGGTATTTTGATTGTTGAGCCTTGAGTGTTTTGATCAGAGTTCCTCCTAGATGGACGCCGTCTCTCGAACGGGTACAAGCCCCCCAAAATACCCTTTTCCTACTGTCTACAGCTTGCGCTGGCATGTGACCGATCAATCATGTATGTTTGTTTTTCCTGGAACCTCAGCCCACTTGTGTGTACTTTTCTGGACAGGGACAACGCAGTCCAAATATGCTGTACCCAATGGCATCGAGTGTGGGATTTTAAGTTTGAGAGACTATAAATCAAACTTCCCGGCGTCTCGCTTGAGGATCGGGGAGCGAGTTTCTCACCACACAAAGCCGACCAACCGGACATTTCCTGCTGTGCTGGATCACTTTGATCAGAAGAGACCGCCCAACCCATCCCACAAGACACAAAAACTTCCAGGCATCCTCTTCCAACAAAATCAAACCACCTCCACAAGCTGCTTTCTCGTCCAAAGGCACCAAATATGGATCACCAATGCGTCTCTTTGCCATATTTGGCACAAATTTCGACGTCGGCCGAGACTTTATTAACCCGACCTCCGCACCATACCCGCGCCGCCCGAAGCCCGGTTCCCTGCCATACGCACCTTCGGCCTGTTCGCCAAGCTCCCTACTGAACTGTGCGTCGCGATCTGGGAAGAGGCGCTGAAGCCGCAGCAAGGGCGTCCCGTCCTCCGGTGGGACGTGCGCGAGGTCCCGGATATGCTAGAACCCAGCACGGCACGCTCCAACTGAGTTCCGAGGAGAACAAGAAGGTTATGCGAGAGCGCCGCCGGCGCGTTCTGCAGATCTGCCTCGCGTCGCGGGAAGCGTGGGCGTTGGCTCCCCGGGCGCTATAGCGGTTGGGGCTGCTGCCCTGGGACCCCTCGCAGTCGTTGAAGGTGTACGACCCGGCGGACGACCTCCTCATCTTCCGGTACCTGTGGCGTGCGTACCCGAGCGTGGCACCCGTCTTGCGCTACGAGGACGCCGTACAGACGGGTCTGAGGCAGGTGAGGCGATTCGCGGTGCCGCTGGGGATGCTGGGCTGCGCGCACGGGATGCAGCCTATCCTGGAGGCGTTGGAGGGAGGACAAGGGAAGGGCGTCGCGAGCAGGGATAAGACGCTCTACGTCGTGGTAGGAGATCTGATACCCTATATTATCAGCTCGGGCGTCGATCTCAGCCATGCGTGTCCCCATCGTAGGATCCTGGAGCAAATATTGGACGGCAAGGTGGATTACCCGCCGGCGACGGCAGAGGCGCACCGGTACTGCGTCATGCGCCACATCTGGAACATCGACCACGATCACGATAGTCCGCTGCCCGAGTGTCTCGACTGGCCCGGACGTGAGCACTATCACCAATGTCAGCTGATTTCGTATTTCATGCTCTTCAGGCGTTTCGTCCGGATGCGTGGCGTGTTCCCGCACTCGTCCCAGGTCTACCTGGAGGTTCTGTGGAAGTTGAAGGCTTTGGGAACCCAAGTGGTCTTCATCTATCCTGATCCGTTGTTTGATCGACTTTGCTGAAGCCATGACGAGCGGGCGATGAGGACGAAGATGACAGTGTTGACGATGCGGCGGTCCGGTTGGGGAGTGTGAATGTGCAAAGGAGGGCAGCTCAGTCCTCCCGTCATTAACTTATTCCTCGGGCAGGTGCGGTTGGTTACGGTTCAACTACTGTCGTACCTCCTTCCCAACATTGCCCGGGTTCCTTACAACAGTTCCTTCCTTCCCAGCACAGGCAGCCTGCACTGGAAGAGTCGACACCAAGGTATCCCCATAAGAAGAGACCCAGATCGTGGGCCTCGGGCCTGACAGCAGAGAGGAAATATGCCCAAGTGGTCGCAGTTTGTGATTTTCTTCCTTACTCATGGGTCTTAGATGTGGTGGCTCTGGGAGGGTGGTCCCAACGTGGTTTGTGCGTTGGGATGGCGTGTGGGAGTGCATTCAGGGGCTGGCTACGATATGGGCATGATGGGGGCTCCTGCATCAATATCTACGTACGAAATATAAAATACCCAACTATGCCTCAGCCCAGAAGCACCTGTGCCCGACCACCAACTATATTCCGTGACTAACCCCTTCAACCGCAAGAAGCCAAAACTGCCTAAGGACTTTCACCAGTTTGCAAGGCGCCATTCTCCAGTGGGAACTCCAAGTCAAACCTGCCTAAATGCTGTCACAGTTATATGGGACCCGTACAGAAGAAGCACTATAATGTGTGAGAGCATTCAGGTAGCTATACAGCCCCCATCCGCCGAGCGACACTGTTTCCGGGAAAGTAACCCCAGATGAAAGAACTCAATGTCAACCAACCCCGGATGTACTGTGGCATAGGAACCAGCGCCTGGGACAAAGTTGCTATCGACAAGCAACGGAATCGTCCAGTGGCGCTTGCGCATTTGCGAGACGAGACAACTATCTACATCTGTTAGATATTCTCAGGATGACATCTAATCCATTAGCCATTAATCTTGCGATACGTGCTCAGACTCGGATGTTATGAGAGGCTGACCGCAAAGTGGCGACGAGTAAACGCTTGGATGGCCTTGTCAATAGGAGCTGCCCATCCAAGCCGACGTGGTTGACCAGTCTGAAGGAGGCAAGTTTCATGAACGGAAATCAGATTCGCTAATCTCACATGACGCCTAGGAAGGGGAATCTATGTACAGCATCGACTCGATGGCCATAGTATCATGGCTGAAGCCGAGAGTTCCCTTGCTGGGAAGAGTGCCTTAAAGTAGCCACTCATTTCTTCTTGCCTCCTATGAACGAGCCCTCGAAGCCAGCGCGGCCTTTGCCCTTCTTGGCTCCTCCCTTGGCTCCTCCCTTCTTCTTGCCGCCTTTGCCCGTGGCTTTCTCGTCCCGTCGCTTCTTGATGTTGTCTTCGCGCTTCTTCTGCCGGTCCTTCATGCTCTTGGCCACGCCGTCCTTTCTAGCAGCCCACTCGCTGGTGCTCTTCTTCTTGGCGTGATCCTTGCGCTTCACTGTCTTTTTCAGCAGCTTCTCGTCATCCTTGATCTTCTCCCCTTCTGCACGTCTTCTTGCCGTGAGCCACACTTCCTTCTCCTCGACGTCCTTGCGCTTCGCTTCGTCCATCTCGTCCAACCGTTTCTTCTGGTTCTCAAGTTTTTGAAGGGTAGTCTTTGCATCGGCCGGTCCCTTCTTCTTGTCCCTGTTCAAAACGTGTGAAAGGTCGTGGGAGAGTTGGGTGCCATCACCAAATCCAACGCGGCCAAAGGAGAAGTTGTTGTTCTCCAAGTCGATAGCAGGACTGAGTATTCCACCAGGAGAGTTGCGCGCTGATGCAAGGGCCTCTTCACGTTTCTGATCCGCTTCGTGTTTGGCCCGCTGTCTAAGCTCCTGCTTGCGTGCCTTGCGCTCTGCTTGCTTCTGGCGCCGGGATTCGATCAACTCCTGGCGAGTGCGGATAGGCTGCCCGTCCTTATCGGCTTTCCGTGCATCTCGGAGGGACTGAATCTTTGCTGCGAGTCTTTCACGTAGCGCGGTGGAATCGGCGGGTATCTTGATGTGTTTAGGCTTTTCGGATGCGGGGATCGTTGAGGAGACGGATGTGGTAGTACTGGGAGGTTGACCGGTGGAATCTGTAGGTGTACCGTTCGTGTCAAAGACAGGGGATTGGGGATCAGACGGCGCGGACTCGGAGCTGTCATCTTCATCGATGCTGGGCATTTTCGCAGGGTCCAAGTCCTCGTCCCCAGCGGGTTTGTCAGCCTCCTGCAACTCTTCCTTGCCCTCTCGTGGCCCAAGTTTGATCTTGTTGACGCCCTTGATCTTTCTCCGCTCGAACTCGGCTTCTTCGTCCCTCAATTGCTGTCGTTCGGCCTTGCGTTCCTTTCGCGCTGCTTTCTTGTCTTCCTTGCGCTGCTCCTCCTCGGCCAGCCTCGATGCTTCCTCGTCTTCCTTCTTCTGCTTCTTTGACTCCTTGGCGGTTTTCTTCTTCAGTCCTTGGCGGGGCTTCTCAGCCTCGACACCGTCGACATCGGACCACTCGTCATTGTCACCGTCACCGTCTTGCATCTGATCGCGCTTGCGCTTCTTTCGTGCCTGCTCGTCCATGACTTCCTTGACGCTCCGGTTCAATTCACTGTCGGGGTCGAGCTTGTTACGTCTGGCTTCGGCAGCCTCAGCTTTGGTTTGCTTCTTTCTTTGCCATTGGTCCTGTTGAAGCGCAATCGTGGTAAGCAGACTGCATTTGGTGGGGCAAAGATTGGTCAAGCAGTCACACTGGGTGGTACGTCGAAGGTTGGTGCCGTGCAGTAGCGGTGAGGTCAGGTGCGGTGGATCAGGAAGATGAACAAGAACGTACTGCTGTGTCTTCTCCATAGTACATCTTGGCGGGTATGAGGGACAGCAAGCCGTCAAAGGACTTCTGCGAATTGAGAAGGCGCTCCTATGTGTTCACTTGTTGGTCACCAGTCTTCCCATACATGCGTACAGCGCCCACCACGCTCACCACGCATTGAGCGGCAGAGCAGCGGTGGCGGGGTTGCGAGCTGTACCAACCTTCAGTGAAGAGTCCTCCATCTTATCCCAAGCTCGGAAGAGTAGCTGGCGAATGGATCAGGCGGCTCAAGAAGCTGGCGGGCGAAGATGCGTCAGAATCAGGGACGATGGAGGGTGTCTCGTGACCTTTGGGTTGGTGGGATGTTCAATCAGTCCCGTCGCAGAGGGTATCGGGGGAATCGCAGCAAAAAAAAAAAGTTTCGATTGACAGCGTCCCAAGTGGATTTCAGGCCGCTGTTGATTGGCAATGACGGATTGAATTTTGGTAGCCGAGTGGCCGACTACTTTTCAGTGCGGAGCAAGTCGCTTACCTCTTTTATTGCCAGGATGGTCTGTGCGGCCCATCGCAGGCGGTGAGCGCTGCATTTAGGAGGGGTGGGGGGTCGTCCCCTCTCCAGCACCATACCGCGGAAGAACGTCATGATAGAACCCGCGGAAGAATGCAGTACTTTTATAGGAGTTTCAGCTATCTTACCCCCTTGCCGTCGCAAATTCACACCTTCAGTCTGTCTTCACTAGTTTCTAAGCCTGGCGAACTTACAAAATGCGCCGGTATGCAGTCTCGGGTGATGCGATGCTCCTCGAGTGTTTCGCTGGTGTCGCCAGCGGGCTGCTGCAGAATTTTGGAGTTTTATCATCGTGATGCTAATTTTCAGCAGTCTTTTTGGCCTTTGACCGTCTCAGAAATTGGGTTTCTTCATGTCTCATCTATATAAGTGTGATCTCTACGTACTCCGATACGTTCGGGGTAAAACACCTCCCGCTTGTAATACCGTTACAGCCCTGGGATGGGTCTCTACCATCGGGGGCAATGGATCCGATGCGGCGAATTATGGGATTGTGATCGAACTCTTGGTCGTTTTCTATAATGCCACCAATGTGACCCACACGCCGGTAGGTGTCCCTCGCGTCGACCGCTTCCAGCAATATGCCGTCAAATAACACAGCGCCCTTCCAGGGTTTCCCCTTGATATCAGTCTCGCCTTTGTCACGCATGTGCATTTGGATGCTGGTAGGTAAGCACTGAAGTTTGACAAGTGCCACAGGGCGCCTGGGCTCATCATCATGGCTTATTTTGAACTTCGTCGTGCGCTCGCCGCCTACTGTAATGAGATGTTGCTCGTATTCACTCCCGCGTGAAGGGCCGTGGCGACTGGTAAGCAGCGGATGTACCTCGATATCAAGCAGCATGCCTCGAAGGCGTAGGTAGCCAGATGTGACTTGGCCAAAGGGGTGAGAGTGAACCCGTGGTTCAGTGTGAACCTTGAGAATCTCAAATGAAGGGTACCATGTATAAGATGGGAAGGGCCCGAGATGGTACCCAAAATCCAGATCGTGAGCATCGGCCGAAGCCCAGGACCATGACGGTGCACGGTACTTTTAGGGTCTCTTGCTATTGGTTCCACGCCAATGCAACTGGCGGATTAGGTCTTTCTTCCAATGTCCGGCGAGGTACCTACAACCCATATATGGTTGGAGCTGGCGAGCAATCGCTGATATCGCCACGAGCTTGTCCGCAGGTTTCGTCAGGTCTGACCCAGAAGTGTACACTTTTACTACGTGCTGCCAAATTTCGAAGGCTCGCTTTTCCACTTCATAAGCTGGGAGGCCCCCGAGAGAGAAAAGATCTAACTCCTCAAAGCGCACGACTTTGCGGTAGCTTCCGGTCTGATCTTTCGGGATGCCGTATGGATGGGATTCTGACGCCTCCATCTCCGTGCACTCCCAATACAGTTGAGATTCTGTGAGGTTGATAGCTCTGGGAGAAATGATTCGCTATCCACCGTTGGTTCGTAGAAACGCTTGCGTAGTGAGTACGAAGGGTGTATATTCCAAAAAGCTCAAATCTGACTTTTCCCATTATCGAGGTATCTTTGTCATACGAATTGAGCGCAGCAAAAGTATCCCCTACTGAGCCGTTAGGCCTGTCGCTGGCGACTCGGAGTCGCCGACAGAGAACGCATCCGGCGGCAACTGCTTCGTCGAAAGATTCCCAAGATGGGTGATGGGGAACATTTCCCCTGCCCCCAAACTCTCCTCAAGCTGTATTTTTTCCAAGACGTATACGCATGCCTTACAGAGCGAGGGTTTTGACGACTGCTCAACCAGTTGGATAGACATGCTGAGCGGCTAAAGTCGTTCCGAATGCAGTGTCTTGATATGCTCCGAAGGCCCACGCAGCCCGAGTCGTAAAAGTTCGACCGTCGGTTCTCGGCTACCGGTACACGTGAGAAGGGTTGGACTCGACGTCTGGGTTAGGGACTTGAAATGGGTGACCAAGTGGTTGAAGATGATTAGGAATAAATAGGAAGCTGACCTGCGGGGTAGCCAGGTGTCCTCCAAAGAGTAGGTAGGCAAGGCAGACTAGCTGACCTCATGGCGGTTTCGATGCCTGCGCCCTTGGTGTAGTAGTATTGGCCCGTATACTGGCAAATGAGCCTGCGTCAGCCGAAGCCTCGTCTTGAGCCTTGTGTAGCCGGCCAGGAATGCATCGTTACATTATCTCACGCATTGCATATGGAAATACATCAAACACCTGACCACGTGCCAATCTGAGCGGCGCGAGACCGCATAACTATTTGTCTGCCTACAACCATCAATTTCAAAGAAATTACTCAATACTTGCAAGCAAAGAAATATGTTCCAGAAATCATTAATGAGACACATAGTTTGTTGGGAAATGAATTAACTAATGAAATTCATGAACCAAGAGATAATGACGCAGGCTATTTAACCTATCAGAAAATGCACGATCCCATCCTCTCACTGGACTACACACGTAACGTTCTCAGCCTTACAAGCGCGGGAATAATCAGCGGGCTCCATCACACCCCAGAGCCCATACTGTTTGCGGAACCGCCTGTACAGCTGTTCCCCAACCGTCTCCTCGTCCGGATCCGACGCCAGCTCCAGCGGATTCGTGACATGGACATCGCCGAGCCAAAAGGTAGCACACGAGATCCTGTCCAAAGCAGAGCGGTTGACGGCCCTGTGCTTGACGCTTCTGTACTCGCCGCCGGACCACTTCTCAATCATGTCCCCGATGTTGATGGCAAAGACGTCCTCGACGGCCGGCACGGCGACCCATCCGTTCTTCTCATCGCTCCATATCTCGAGGCCGTCGTGACCGGGCTGCTGAAGTAAGCAGCCGACGCCTCCAAAGTCGGTGTGCGCTTCAGTGCCGGATTTTTGTCCCCGCGGTTGGCTGGTGGTGGGCGCCGGAGGCGTGCGGATCAGCTTCAGGGTGACGACGGGCTTCTTGGTGAACCGCGCCAGCACGTCCTCCGGGGATTCGTATCCAAGGCCTTGTAGGAGGATCTCATAGATGATCCGCCCGAGTCGGTTTGTCGCTTCGTAATACTCCCAGACCGGGCCGCGGAATTCGTCCTCCGAGAGCACGGTCGAGTCGGGCCAGACGTTCGGGCCGTGCCAGCCTGGTTCCTCGATGACAGGCTCCTCACGGCCGACGAAGAAGCTCTGAGGGTTTATTAATTGCCATTCACAAGAAGAAAAGTGAGGTCTCGTGTTACCTCCTTCAAATCGGGCAGCACGTCCCCGTCCCGGACTGAGTCACCCGACTGTTCGTAACCCCGACGAACAACGTTCTTGAGGAACGACAGATCGAGCTTATCTTCTCTGGGAAGATTGAACAGCTTCTGACTGCTCTCGATGACCTTCCGCTGTGTGGCTAGAGGCACGCCGTGGCCCTTGACCTCTGTAAAAGCAAGACTGTCAGTATTTTCTTCCAGTTTCCCATGGAACGCCGAGCTAGAAGGATGGATGTCTATCTCAGTGACAAAAACATACGGAAGAAGCTGTGTTGTCGACAAGCATCTCCCACTTGGGTGATGACTCTCTCCTTGTCCCCAGGGGCTTGAGGGTTAAGGTAGCCACTGATGTCGATAACCTCTAGGATGTTGCGGGCTGGCATCTTGGGCAATGATATGGCTATAAAGCAGAGAGGGGTATAGTGATGGTACAGCGAGACCGGGGTGATGGTGGAGCGAGAGTAGGGTGATCGTGTAGCGAGACTGGGGTGGTGGTGGTGCAGCAGAGACTGGGGTAGAAGTTGTGTGGGGTACGTTTTGGCAAAAACACGCTTTTGGTTGTCGCCTTCGAGCAGAATATATAGACTTGATCGCCCCCATCAATACCACTGTGGCGACGTATGTAGGAAGACATGAATGAGGATGTCGTATACGAGGTGGCGCAACGTGTCACGAAGCATGAAAGGGACAAAGAAACAAAGGGCGTACCTATGTACATATCCAGTGATTCGACGCCGGATTAGTACAGCAGCTCCCTACAGAACAACAAGTCATTATTCTCCCCCTATGGTTGGCCTTCTGACACAATGAGGCTTAACTTCGTAGGTTTACCCGAACCGCGGAGCCCAATTGGACGACACGCTCCATTGTCCTATTCATAGCATGATGGCTCCCCTTCCGAATGCGAACATTGACTTCTCAGTGACAGGTGATGATGTTTGCAGGGGTGACTTCAGCAGCTGATTGGTAGGACTACTATCGTGAATGGTTGAGAGTTTCACCGCCTGCTGCACCACACCGAAATGAGGATTGGTGTTAATAAAGTCCTAAGGATGACTTTTTCTCGGTAGGAAAAGGCACAGTATGTCACGCTTAGTGAAGGCGATATCTGAGCTGACTTGGAGGTAGCACTGGCGGCTCAATACCCGACGATAGGGGGCAGAAGTGACGAATGCCGCTATCTGGGGAGTAGAGACACTGTTGCCTTACAGGTTGAAACCGACGCAGGACTTCAAGGCGCCCATAGTCACAGCGAGGATCCATGTATGGGATGAAGCGTTATTCTTAGACATGATATTAGTGTCATGTGACGATACCATACCCGGCCGACTGTCTCTTCTCACATCATATCATGCTGACACGTGGGATGATGTCGCTGATTGGTGCTGTCAGAGTCCATGGCTATGCCGACGGAACACGTGTGTCACACGTGTGACACCGGGATGTGTGTATTGACTGCCTCATTCGTCTGTCTGGATTTGGGATGAACGCGTATAGAGCTGAAACAGGGGAAGGAGGCAGTTTATATCAGACATAGAGCAAAAGGTACAGGGTGAAGAATTCTCTGATAAGATAAGTCCTATGTCTACGATCGTACAACTGACTGGTGCTCGTGTCATCCCAAGCGACGAGACTTCGTGGGCTTCCAGCTGGTATCGTCGTTATGCCCCGGGAATGTGGCACGCACTACAAGGGCACAGTGGTTTGCTAAGCACCGCATCTCGTACCTTCGAGTTGAAGTTCCAAATGAGTGATGAGAGTGTACCAGGTGTCCGGTATCTATGAGCGGTCCTAGATGTGCGTGTGAGGCACCACGGCGGGTTTGCCGTCAGCGATACGGGCCGTGGCTGGCTGCATGACCTGCTTACACCGAACCGACATCTCGAAATTGCCTTGCCAAGCTTCCTCAGCCTCCGCCGTCGGACCGATGTTAACCGCCGTGGCAGCCGGTGATGATGCGCTGATAACCGAGATAACATGATGATGGACGCTTCAATGCGTGAATATCCAGTCAATCGCCCCCTGAATAGTCAGTGTCAGGCAGGCAGAGCCCTTGCTGGGCGCGACTACACCCCCAAGCTATCATGAGAGTCGGCGATTACCCTCAAGAACGTCATCGCTCTCCTGTTTCCGAAGGGCTCTGACTGTACTGCAGGAGAAAGTCGGACGAGTATACTTGCAGTGATTATGCGATGGTGGCTTTGAGTCACACACTTTAGGTGCATCACGGATCACGAGAATCTCGGGATCATTGTGGCTCTGAAGTGGTCTCAGTATGGGATGTCTGCGTTCAATGTGCCCGCCACAATGACTCCTTGAAAACACCAAAGCTTGGAGCGCTTTTCATATCGAAAGGCATCTGCGACACATGGCTCCACTTCGAGCATAACCAGCTGAAGAATGCAGTGACATCTCGGGAATCTCTCTTATCTTGCGGGCCCGGGGACTAGGCATGCATGTCTCGCTATTAGGGCTAGGTGAGTCACACGTTCTCCCTTGCTTCAACGCACTTATTGTCGGAGAACCTCTAGGAAACAAATTCGGTACATATTCTCTACTCAGATCAATGCTAGAAACCTCTTCTGCATTGTGATTCTTCTTCGCCCTCCTGTCGAAACAATGAGCGAACAGAGCACCCCGATAAACGGCGCCGCCGATGTGATCCCAGAGGCCTCGAAAGAGCAGTGTTCTTTCTGCTCCTTCAGCTTCTCACGCGACAACCCAAGTGGATTCCGCCCAATCGCCAAAGGGAAGTCACTGGACAGTATACTTCGGTCGGCCGCGAATTGCCCATCATGCTCGCGTCAGAATGCACTCCTGCACCCTAGAGAAAGCGAGCTGCATAACTTGGCCCAGGGGAAGAGGTTGGACATCCAGATCATGCGGAATGTCAGCGACGCCACGTTCGACAACATGTGACGACGCCAAATTGACAGGAGCCATCCAGGGCTGACTTGCAGCCTCATGAGAAGTGCCTGCGGACGTGTCTGGACTCCCATACGAAGTGTCGTGAAGGCACCACCCCTGGTTGGCTGCCGACACGGCTCATAGATGTCGGGGTTAAAGGGTCCCCCGCGGCTCCAAAGCTCGTCTTCTCGGCCGGTATTCCTCAAGACGCAGACCGGCGCTACATCGCTCTCAATCACCACTTCCAACCGATGGGTCAACATACAAGGCCATGGGCACGTTTGATTTTTGAGAGAGAAGGCTCAATAACTCGAAATGTAGCTCTGCACACGGGCAACCTGGCTTCTTTCGCGGACGCAATCCCCCACCGGCGGTTACACCAGACGCATCAGACTGCCATGTCAGTCGCCCGCCGATCCGGGGTTCGTTTTCTCTGGATCAACACCCTGTGCATTGTACAAAACTCGGCAGCGGATCATGACCTGGAGTGCGCCACGTTGGACATGATCTACGGTAACTCGCTGCTCACACTCGCAGTCCCGGAAGGTGGTTACGGTCGTAGAGGTTTCTTCGACTGGCCCAACCCTGTCACGACAGCTTCTGTGCGGTGCCTGGGAAACCAAGGCGTCTTTCTAGACGATACTGGTAGCGTGGCTAGGAGAGCGCCTTACAGAGTGGCAATCGGCATCGATCGTTGGCGGGAGATGGGCCAGGAGGCATTGGCGACAGAGGAACATCTCCTGGCGCCGAGGACGATCCACTTCGGCCAAAGGATGACTTGGGAATGCAGGGAGACGGTAGCAAAGCAGCTTTTTGATGGATTGTGTGTCTTCCCCTCAGACCACAAGCCCAAGATTTGGGATGGTGGCTTGGGACCCGAGAACAGAGAGAACAGTGCCGAAAACGCTGTGAGTTCTGTCGACACTGCCTGGATAATTATTGATCGTGATTACAAAGGGAATTAATTGGGTTATCTTCGCAATGCGTGCCTGTACAAGTAGAATGGCATCTTTCAACAACGGGTCGTCTTCCCTACCTAGGTTTCCCTGGATTCCTGCTCACAAAACATCAGCGTCATTCGTCTCCTTACATTATCCTATGGGCTGGGGCCTGTGTACTTGGCCTAACATGCTGGTATGTTAATTTCCTGAACCAAGTATTCGGTGAAATCTCGTATTTTGCTCCTTTCTCGAATGCAGGTTTGGACACTGCTTCCATCATCGCATGTTGCATCGCAATTACCAAATAGCCTTACCCCATTATCCAGTGACTCTCAACTCATCCGCTTCTGCGGACGGAAATCAGTGTGTGGGGTTGTCTTCTTCGAGCTCTAGGAGATGACTCCTCCTTTATTGTGATTCTCTCCTAGATCTCGATGGGCTCCTGAGATAAACACTATGTGAGTATTCGAATACAGGGTTTCAGAGACGAGATCCTTGAGAACCAGGTTAGCAAAGTCTGTGCTGCGTTAATCGGGATCAGCGTTCCTTATCTCGAACGACAGACTACTTCCAAAACCCCAGTTGGGCTTGTTCCGGCCCACTTGCCGAACTCGCGGATGATAGTTTTAACCCCCTCATTCCCGGTGATCATAGTGCTCGTCCTGTCTGTGAAAGCAGGTTCTTTCAAAGCCTTCATAAGAGCTTGACGAAGCTTTTGGGTGACACTGGGCAGACTGCTCGACACGTTCCTGATGTTCGCGATGGCACTGCTGCATAGCCTCGAGTCTTTTGCCGAAGATCTGGTGTTAAGAAAGTTAGCCATTCATTCTATTCGGTTCGCTGGGAAGCTGGACGATAAACAACATACCTCCTCGAGCTCCCGTACACTCTTCTCACTATCCTGGAATCGCTCTTCGAGTCGTTCCATCTCTTCTGCAAGCTTTTCCTGGGCCTGAATCTCTCCTTTGGTCAAGGGAGTCGCTAGAGTGGCAATGGTACAGTTCACTTCGATCATGGCAGCCAGGCAAGACCGCGACCACAATACCCTATGATGAAAAACCTGGCCCAACTACAGTTGAAGCATCTTTTTATAGCGCCAGTACTGTAAAAGGATCTTGTTATCTTAAATATTCAAGGATTATAGCACTGCGGTACCACGTTAGGACTGGTATAGGTAGGCGGACGAATCAGTGGGCGTGGTTTAACGTTGCATTAATTCATGCTCTCTTCCAAGCTTGAATGCACGACCTGTATAGAAATTTCCATGGACATGTCTTACTTGTATGTCTTCCCCTTCCCAGCTCTAGCAAACCCAGCCGCAACATGTTAATTCTGGTTTCTCTACACATGGTATGCTTGATGTTAACCCCCAGCCCACTGTGGTCGATATTTGGCTGAGGGATCACAAAGAACACCTACCAAGCCACACACTCAGAATGAGTTGCGTGAATGACTCTCGCAGCCTGGATGTAGAGCATCATGACATGGTTGAAACAGGGACAGTCTTTAGATATTGCTCGGTGCCTGTGCACAACGAACTGATCTTGTGGGCTATAATTCTTGCGGCTTTGGCACCGGCTCCCACTTCAGCGCGACCTCTGCAGTTGGGCCGAACACACTCAGGGCATGTGTGCCACGCTCGACTCATGTATGCCTTGCTTACGTGTCCCTGCAAAGGATGTTGTCTGGAGCGATATCTGGCGCCTTGGAGACCTCGTGCCATGAAAACATACGAGTCATGGCCATGACTTCAGCTTAGCCAAATTTCCGGGAGTCATCATCAAACATCCTTAGTCCAAGGATACCGCTCTGTCGCCGGGATCGAGCTGCCAATTGGAATCCGTTTCTTGAAACATCTTCTTCACACCACAGTGACAGCTATACCGGGGAACCAGCAGCCGTGTCCAAGCTCGCTCAACTATTTCCTCCCTGCTCCGCTTTCACCCACAAGGACCTCCCCAACAAACCGGAAGAGTCCACATCGTGACTGGAGGTGCCTCCGGTGTGGTCCTCGAGTTGGGCAGGTCTTTGTATCAGAAGAACGACAGGGTCTACACTGCCACTAGATCCACAGCCAAAATCGAGAATGCCACGAGGACGATCCGAGAGCAGTGCAAGGGCAGCATGGAACGACTTGAAGGCATGGTTATCGACCTTGCAGACCTCACATCCATCAAGCCGGCTGCTCAGGCATTCAGAGCAAACGATGTAAGGCTGGATGTCCTGTTCCGCCATGAGGGTGTGATGGGCACGGTCCCGGAGGTGAAGTCTACTCAGGCAAGAGAGACGCGTCCTGATATGATTTCACCATGACTAACAAGAACCAGTGCTATGAGATGCAGCTGGCCACCAATGCCCTGGGCGCCTTTCTGCTTGATTTGGCTTCTAGAACCCATTCTAGTCAACACCGCAAGGAATTCGCCCCATAAAAGCGTCCGAATCATATGGATTCGCTCCATGCTGGACCTCGGAACCCCCAAGGGCCTCGTCGTATGGGGCCATAACACAGACAAGCTTGTCTTGCATACCGACACAATGGCAACTAACTACATTCAACCGAAAGCTCGTGTCACGTTTCTTGCCCACGAATATGCCCACCGGCTTGGGACCAGGGGATCATCTCGACGGTATGTTCAGTGTTCGGTGGAAAGGGGGTACTTCGTGCTGATCTCTTGGCAGACCCTTCATCCAGGCATGATGAAAACAATCTGCAACGGAATATGCCCGCACCTATACCCGGAGTCATGTTAAGCCTTTTGTCCAACCTGCTTCATGTTTCATGTTTCAGTCACTGATCTTTCTCTCAGGGTGTCGTGTTCAAAAGCCGACCTTTGGTGCCTATCCTGATATCCTTGCCGGCTTGTCCAATGTCGCCTGATGTCAAAGAGAATGACAAAGGGCGGTACATCACCCCTTGGGGCCGATTTGGTTCGGTGACGGATCACATGGTTCCGGCGATGAAGTCGAAGGATAAAGGCGGGTCTGGATTAGCGGAGGCATTCTGGGGGTGGTGTGGGGAGAACAACGCGGTGTATAGATGAGTCACATTACTAACATAGAAGCAACATACCTGAAAAAAACACCTTTCTTTCTTTCCCTACAAACCAATGGAAAGCTTCAGTTGACTTCTTTTGAGGTCCAAGTGCAAAGACGGCGATGAAAAGGGTTCGGCACCACATAACAGCAGAAGCGATGTATATAGTCAGCCCCTGGTTTTATTCTTTCCCCCCAGCGACTCAATACCTGGGGCATATGGGTCACCTAGGCAGCTACGTGCCCAGTGTTGAAAAGACAATGGCCCTGTGGTGGCAGAAGCCAGCTGCCTTGGGCCGAAGACTATGTGCCAACGCCGCACTTTACCGGTATCACTTACAACCCATCTCAGCTTTGGGTGCTTCCCTGGAACTTACACATGATTTGTGCGAATAGCGAGAAATTCCTAGGTCATGAGAGTTAGCTCGGCACTCTCATTTGCGCATATAGACCTCTCTTCCCACTGCTATTAAAGTATTTTCTCGCACCGAAGGATGTGGCAGCCGGAACGGCTGTTTGACAGAATTCCGAGGCACACTAGAGCTGGAGCTGGCCAAAGTTAGGTTATAGACCATCTGATTTTGAGGATCGCTATCACTTTGGCGAAGCAACTGGATATTCCCCAGGCCACAACTTTCACCCGGTTCTTCCCCACACAACAAGATTTTCTGAAGGAACGAAGAACACAGCAGGCCTGCATCAATGCAGCACTTGATTCTGTAGCAACAATCTGATGCATGGAAATTTGAGTGTCTCCACCTCCTGGCAGACCCCGAAGTTGAACAGTCCACTTTTTTCGAGGCGTCAACATGCTCTGTTTCGGTGCACGCGTAAGTAAATACCTACGCCGTGCCAACGATCCTACGCAACGCAGCTGACACCGCATCCAATAGTAAATTAGGAGCTCTCTCTTTGCTAGATTGCCTTTTTTGCTTGTACACTAAAGGCGATTTCTTCAGTTTTCGAGATACCACGACAAGGAGCCTGAACTCAAGGGAGAGACGAGTATAGTCTTTTCGTGTCGTTTGTTCATTTTCGCAAGTACCTCTCGCAATTCTTCTTCGTCACGACATGGACGACTCCATCGACATGGATCCTCCTGCAGATGCATTGATCCAGCTAGGAAGCTCCGGCTTCCAGCTTTCTTCCGTCATCCCTCGCATTCGCAGCATGGGTTTCTCCACCAGTAAGTATCCCTCCAATACTCACCCTTGACATCGGATGGAAGACCGGAATTCTGATTATGTTGAAAAACTCGTAGGCGCCAACTTTGGCGTTGCGTGCTTCGCCATTTATCCCGACTTGATTATCCTGGCCCAAAACTACGAGTCAAACGAGGTCGAAGTGGCCTGCGTGGTCTGTTCACATTGCATCATCCAAGCTCTGCCTCAATTCGCAGACCAGATCCTTCAAACTTGTCGCCAACGCAAGCCCGGACCACCCCGCGATCTTCGACCTGCGCATGGTCTTTATTGAAGAGCACCTGGTCATCTTCACCCTGGCCCATGGCCTTGAAGTCTCCGTCGAGAACATGACCCCCGCCAAGCTCGTCGACCTCGCCTTGGTATGCAGAACATATCGTCTCACCTCCCTCTTCTCCTACGACATTGAAGAGTGGACGAGCGCCGCTGCAGAGTATTGCTATCCCGATGCCATCCCCGAGGATGGAATCTATCGCTGCGAATGGGAATGGCTGGTCATCTTCTACGAGTTCGGCCACGTGAATAACTTTGTGGACCTCGCATTCAACCTGGCTTTCATCTTGCCGAGCCCTGCCGAAAACTGTGACCTGGGCGGTGAAGAACTGCAACCGGGCTTCCTCAGTATGTTGATGAGCTGACTGTTTTGAATCGCGATACTAACCATTCCGATAGATCGCCTGTATTGGGCTCGTAACCAGTACACGGTGGCCAACGAGAACGCCTTCTCCCTGTTCCGAAACGGCGCCGTCGACATGTTCCTGGGCGAACGACACCTTGAGCGCATGTGCTTGAACATGCTGAGAGGCTGCGCCCAAGGTCAGCTGGCCTGCCTGTACGATTAGTTCGTACAGTCTGAGCCCCAGGGTGACAGGGACAACCTCGAGTCCTCGCCGTGCGCAATCTTCCTCGACCACGAACTTGTACTCGACAACCCGCGAATCTGCCCCGACTGCAAGACCGACTCCTGGCTCGCCGAGTGTGTAGAGGCAATGCTGAAATTCGGAACATACGACATGGCTCAGTGGTTTCACCAGACCTACAACATCATCTCCTTCACGGAGCACAATCTCGAGTACGTGAAGGACCGGGCCGCGGAGATATCCATTGCCCGGTGCATCGAGGAAGATAGTGGCGGGCTGACGTCATCGTCGTCGTGGTCCCCTCCGTCCTCCTCATCCTCCCAATACTAAACGCTGTCGGTGGCTCTCAGTTGCAGCTTTGCCGTGGCGTCGGCTGCGTCGGTTTGGCCAGGTCGAAGAAACGGGGCGATGATTAGGGATATATGGAAACCTTGGCTCACAGCATCGGCCTCCGCACCTTGGCTCACAGCATCGGCCTCCGCACCTTGGTCTTTGATGTCAATGAGGCACTGCGACGGGGGGAGTATTGCTGGCGGTGTGGCTTGGGTGATTTAGGGGTGGCTCAGCAGGTAGTCTCAGCCGCAGCTGAAAGCGGGGGTGGCTTGAGGTCGTGTCGCATTGGGCTCTGACTCTCTTCCCTCCACTTGATATATTCCTAGTAATGAGCATGTTGGACCAACGCTTCTTTATGCGATTGTCCCCCTTTCGACGATATGCAGCCAGTATGCCGTGACACGACTCCAAGCGATGTCCAAGGTCGGCAGGGTTCATGCCTGTCGCACCGACCCCGCGGATGATTAGATCATTTGACCCCTGGCTAACCTGGGGCAGTCAGAGGTCCGTTAGATTTACACCTGGACCTGACTACCAACTTTGTGCACCCCAAGACGCATGGTGGCTTGACCATCATAGTCATAGTCAAGGCTTGCTTGGGGATCAAAGCATTCAAGTCCAGCCGTGCCAAGCAAGCCTGTCTAACATCCAACTTACTAGTCACCCCCACGGTCATCTCAAGTGACGTCAACTCAGCTTCCCTGTCACCGCCAAGAAACACGAATCACAGGCTACTCGTCACCACCGATTCGATCATTCATCAACAACAGGTTGTCAGGACTCAGGAGGCGTTTGAGCTTTGACGTGTACCATGAAGCCCAAACATCAAAACCGTTCCTTTGTGGCCTCGCTCTTCTTCCCCATTTCAAACCGTCTCTCTTACCTCACCCTCCCATTTCCACCAGCAAGATAAACTACCAAGATAGTTCAGCATGGCAGGTCTCGTCGACAAGTTGACCGCTTCTGGCGGCACCGAATCCGCAGGTAAGTTAGGGCAACACGCTCCCTCCCCGCGGTGCTCTTGCGCAGCACCACCAGAGCTCAGTTGACACCCCGTGTAGGATTCCTCAACGATATCATTGAGCAGTTATGGCCCAACATTAACGTCGTTGGCTGCAAGATGGTCAAGGATATCGTCGAGCCCATGTTCGCCTCAATGCTGCCGGGTCCTCTCGCCTCGCTCAAGTTCGTCAAGCTCGACCTGGGACGTGTTCCGATGCGTGTGTCTGCGGTAGATGTCATCAAAACCGACAATGGCGGTATCAAGCTCGATATGGACGTCACGTGGAAGGGAGAGAGCGATATTGAGTTGGATGGCAACATGGTCCCCAAGCTGGTAGGTTCCATTGGGAGGGCGACGCTTGGTCTGCGGATTGCTAACTTGAACGCTAGGGCATCGAGCATGTCCATCTCAAAGGAAGGTTGTCGGTACTGCTGGCCCCGCTGGTTAATGTCATCCCTCTGGTATGCTGCCCTGCTGGATGCTTCTTTGAATGTGATATTAACACGAGGAAACAAGATTGGGGCTGCCCAGGTTGCCTTTATCAACCCTCCGGAGCTCAAGCTCGACTTCACTGGCGCCGCCGACGTTGCAGACTGGGGTATTGTAGATAAGTCAATTCGCAAGGTCATCCTTGACATCATCGCCTCCATGGCTGTGCTCCCCAACCGCTACCTCGTCAAATTGGACAGCAATAACGACTTCTTCAAGACATATTTACCCCACGTGGGCGCCCTGCGTCTGACCATCGAGAGAGCTATTGGAATCAGCGGTCCAAAGAAGAGCGGTGCTAAGAGACTCCTCGCTAAGATCGTTAAGGACGTTCCTGATTGCTACTGCAAGGCCATTCTTGGTGCCGAGGACGAGTGGCGCACGTCAACCAAGAAGAATAACAAAGATCCAGAGTGGAACGAAACCCACGATTTCCTGGTTGCCGACTACGACCAGCGGATCTTCATCGATATTCTGGACGACGACTTGGGCGGCGATGACGACATTGGTGTTGCTTCGACCACTGTCAGAGACATCCTGCTGGGCGGCGGCTCGCAGGAGTTGGCACTCACTCACAACAACGAACCCACCGACGCCAAGGTTACCGTCCGAGCCAAGTTCTTCAACTTCGTTAACAACGCGGATGTCATCACGTCGGCTCGGAGTGAGAACGAGGGCCGAATCGTCGGCCTTGCCACAGTACTCATCGGGAGCGTTCTCGGACTGCAGGGTCAGCGCGACGAGCTGAACCCCAGCGTCAAGGTGACGTGGGGCAAGAAGGAGTTCCGCACCGCGGCCAAGTCACACAGCCCAGGCACAGACATCTTCAACCCGTCGTTCGACCAGGCCTTCAGAATCCCAGTTACGGCGGACTTGCTTGCCAACCCTGGACACTTCAAGATCGCTCTGCTGAACAAGGCCGACGAGACCGGGTCCGTTGAGATACCCTTCCAGCAAGTGCTCGCATCGCCGGGGTTGGTCAGGGAAGACAGCTTCGACGTTGGCCCTGGCGCAACGGTTAGAGCGAGCATCTCCCTTCGGGGCTTGCAGCCCAGCCAATAGGCCCTGTGCCTACACACGCCACGGTGTTTGGCCTCTGATGTAAACTAGATGGATGATACACGAATGAACGAATAATTTTGGTCAAGTAACCTACTCCTTGTGAAAAGCCACCCGCAACTCGACCAACACCGGTAACGGGGACGTAACGGAGTCATTGCTGACATCAGTCTATCGAGGTTGGACATAATATCGACATGGGTAAAAGGGAGCCGGAGACCTGGGGACCCGGTACCGTGGTCAGCTCGCAAAACAAATGGGCACTGCGAAAACGTGCCATCATGCCAAATGGCAATTCGGATCCTATGATGTGGACTATATCAAAAGCAAGTTTCATTGCCTCGCGGGCAACGAAACGGAGTGGTACGTCCAACAAACCAATCGACCCTCGAGCTCTTGTAAGGAATCATCGAAAGCATGCTTTTACCGTGTCATGCGGGCTCTGTGTCGTTCATTGATCCTCGGTCGCTGGTCAGCAGAGCTGGCGATGAACTCGCTCAAGAACACTTGCTGGTTGTTCCCATTTCCTCGAGAGTCTGGCCCAAGATGCCGCCGCCCCAGCAAACAGCATCCTCTGCTCAGCACCACCCAGGAAGCATGATTCAGCTCCAATCACGACAGAGAAGGCCAATGTTCTCGCTTTTTTCATCTCGTATCGCTACCTGTGTAATCACGGTCAGCACGTTGGGGCTGTGGTTGATGAGTTGAAGGATATGTCGCGGCTGGTTTGGGTAGGCTCAGCTCTATTCTAAGCGCTCACGTCATCGTGCGTTTCTGGTATAAACTAGAGTCTACTTAGCTGAGACCGTCTAAGTGGACACATCCAGTCTATCGCATCCAGGCAATTGGGCAAAGGAGGGTGTTCATGTTGAGACTACTGCGACTAAGCTACAGAAGTGCTTAGTCACTCTCGTATTCTTTCATGCGGACCAGGGACTTCAGTCTTCAGCTGAGCTTCATCTAAGCTCGTATTCCTGCGGCCGGGCTTTATAGGCTATAGCTGACATCACCAGACAGCTCGAACCCCGCGCTCCGATGACGATGGGGACCGTCCCTTGTCCGACGCAGCTAGTCAATGGACCAATGGGGCAATTCATGCCTCCTACCCCAGCTGTCTCCGTCATAGTCTGCCGGATCGGTCGATATCACGTCGGGTTACTATTGATCGCGAACAGGTCTTCGAATCGTTGGGTATATATATCTGGCCCATGAAGCAGACAGTAGTAGTAGACCTTATCCATCCTCACAACAACCACGCTTCAACTCGTCCTCCAAGAACTCAATCAAATATTTCCCACCACAACCCGCAACAAACGTTCACGATGATATTCACAACCACTATCATCCTCTCCCTTGCCGCCCTGGCAGCAGCATCCCCCATAACCCCGCGCCAGGAGCCCCAGCAGCCAGCCACAGTCTACGGCGTCGACCCCAGCAAACCCTTCTACCTATACGCCTACACAACCGACTACACCAGCAGCTACATCCTGCAGCCCTTCTACACCAGCGTATCGCAGCTCGGGCTGCAAGCCGTCCCGGAAGGCGGCAACGCCACCGCATCCCCACAGGCCAACTATACCCTCAGCGGCAGCCACTACGGCACGCAGCTATACGCGTACCGCCCCGGCATCTGCACGTCGATGGCGTCGTGCCCCACGGACCCGCCGGCCCTGCAGTGGAGCAACGACGAGCCCGTCGACGGCGCGCCGCTGACGTTCCACATCGGCGTCGACGAGCCGAACTTCGGCGGGCTTGGGTTTTATGGCGCGTATCATGGCGGCGACTTTGAGGCTGGCACGGATAATTACCTTGTTGGTGGGGGGGATACCGATCTGGCTGGGGCGTTTTCGGTGTGCGATTTGGCAGCGAATTCCGCGGTTAAGCTGCTTACGTATCATGGTGCGAATAGCAGCTGCGTGGCGGTTACTGTTAATGCCTACCAGGTATAGGTCTCAGTGCGGGTTATCGTGGGAGGGAGGATTCGGGTTACGACTTACGAGAGCGAGAGCGAGAGCGAGAGCGAGAGCGAGAGCGAGACAGCGGGATTTAGAGAGCGGAACACAGGGTCGCTGTCACTAATGTATAATTCTTAGAGATAGTAATGAGTATGATCATGGAAGTCAAGCCTCGCGACAACAGGTCTCAAGCCCTGCAAGATCGCTCACTTGGGCTACGCATGTGTGTAACGGTTTCTGGTGGAATCAGGACCGCGCGGATGTATAGATCAGTCTTGTGGCTCGGGTGACTTGGTAAGAGCGTTACTGGGCCCCTCGTGGTCCAATAGCCTCGAGGGCTGTACGTCCATGGCGCCGTGGCGAGGGTATCCTATTCTGGGCTCGCTCAGTGTGCTCATGGAGCCATGCTGCTTCGAAGCGACTATTTACTTACTACGTGGTGTGAAGTCTGGGACTCCCTTTGATAACAAATCTGAAACGAGGCTGCACGTTCGTGGGACCTGGGCAGGACAGTCGGTATCGGATGTTCAGGTGAGGGAGAGGGAGAGGATTACGATGGCATATGAGTGAGTTGACGCAGATGAATCGACTGTGTCGTATTCGGTTCATTAGTACCAGCCATGCAACGGGGATGTGGGTCGTTCGGTGCCGAATATTAAAGGATGGTGGCCATGTACCGTCACCCGTGGCTCTATTCAACACGGCCTGGGAAGTGATGCTATACTTGTACCGTGATCCCAGACATCCCAGGACAGGTCTCGAACGTCGTGGTTATCAATAGACATAGAGACGCTAATAGGTCTCGGTAAGTATTACCCTGCGAGAGGTCCCTCCCCTTAACATACGCAGGTGGTAGGATGAGTGTCCTAACTGCTGACACCAATTACATCTTGCTGGTGGCGACGCGGGGTCAGATGGTACAGGATTAGCATACTTCTCCGTTCGAGCCCGGTAAAGCACAATTATATTGTATTAGTAGCCGCGTTGTCGCAGTGGGTCGAGGATCGTGGGATCTGGTCGGGCCTGGACTTCGACAGGGTTGGAGCAGACGCAACCAGGATGATACATACGCAGTACGGGGTAAGACCCTGGCTGCGTGACTCCCTTAATAAATTTATGAAAGAGTCACCTCTCAAGTTGTTAAAATAAAGGACGCACTCTTGTAGCCGGCTCTAGAAATCAACTACATTATGAGCTCTGCGCTACATGGGTTGCGCAACTACCCGCTCCTGCGAGAACACCAGTATTGGATCCTGACAGGACCCGGGGGACGTTTAGAGCTATTTTCAAACCAAAGTATACTTATGTATGTGCTTGCGAGGTATATAGAGCGTAGCAGGCTATGGTCATCTCAATGTCCTATTCTATCCGCCACGATATGGGACTCTTATTGACCACCACGAAGCTCACAAGAGCCTATTCCATCCATGATGGTTCGCTTCTTACATCTCACCCTTCTGGCCGCGTTACCGCTGTCTTCTCTAGCCTTTCCCTCCGCACACTCGCAAACAAAGCGCAACATCAAGAAGGAACTGACTGCGGATGACTCGGCAGACGATTCGAGACTGGAGTTCCAAGTCATCAGCGGAGACAACAAGGTAGAACTTGTCTCGCACAAACAAGTCGACGACGCCACCAATGACTTGGACGACGGCGTGTTGGAGAGTCTATTCTCCTCCTTCTCGAGTCCCTCATCCCAACGGTCACCGTCCCAGGATGACACCAACGGAGGAGCTCCCCCACGCAGCAACCACACGTCGACGTCCCCAGCGGAGAAACGGGCGGGGATGCCCCAAGTCATCGTGCCTGACAGTTATCCCGCGTCAGCCGTCGGGAAGGTCTTCACGCGAATCGGCCGGTCAACCGGCCACTGCAGCGGAGCGCTCATAGGACCAAGATACGTCCTGACCAAGGTCCCGAACAACTTAACGGATATCCACGGTGGATTGATATTGACGTGGATATCCACGTCAACTCAATCCACTGATACCCCTGCAGCCTTAGCAACCAACCTAACGACAAGGCTATCTGTCAAGGCTTAGACGAACAAAGATTGGCCGGTGGGTAGATTGACACTGATATTGCTATCCTATGTACTAGTGGTAGAGTACAAGACGAGAGACGAAGAGAAAAAAGGGGAAACAAGCAAAGAGACGTTTCACGAGCCAACTATATAGAATCTCGGACAGAGATTCCATCTCGTTCCACGATGTTCTACGCGTGCTTCCAAACTATTCCAGATCGTTCCATGGCACTATCGTAGGTTGATATTAACGTGGATGTCGTGAATATTTTTTTAACCATATTAAAATATCCAAATCATAGTAAGTCATGCCAAGGTTCTTCTTATACCTTATAAAACCTTACTATTATTAGGTATATTTTTATATCAACGGATATTAATTAATATTAACGGAACCCTTTCATTAACCAACGTTAATTAAATCAATGGGAAATTTTTCAAAAAACTTATCAACCAACTTAACGAGGCCCCCATATCAACGTGGATTAAGTTGGTCGGGACCTTGGTCCTGACCGCGGCGCACTGCGGCGAAGGCAACTATGACGGTACCGTATTCTACCCAGCGTACTTTGGCGACAACACTGTCCATGTTGCTGCCACCGTCAAACAAGTGATCAAGCCATCAGGTCAGGTAGTCGATCCAGGGGACGAGTGCACATCAATTCACGACTTCGCCATATTGATTCTCGATTATGATCTCAGACGCTATGGATGGCTGTAAGTTGGCTCTCCCAGGACCTCCTCATCTGCACCTACCTACCCAAAGCACGCTCGTCTTCATGCTTAAGCCGACGCGGTGGGTTTTTTTTTTTTTTTAGTCATGAACTGACCGACATGTCCTCTAATGACACACCCACCCAGATATCGGAAGACCTGATGGGGAGCCCGAGTTTGAGAGTATCATGTATGCGAACGCCATCGAGGGCGGGCAAAACCCCTTTCGCTAGCGCGACATATCCATACGCAGGGGAGGCTGTCGCAACGGAGGAACGCTCGTGGCCGAGATGTAGGCGTCGCCCGGATCGTCAGGGGGGCCACTATACAGCATGACAGACGGCGGCATGGCGAAGGTATACGGTTGTATCTCGGTTGACGTCGAGCCTGCTGAAACCCCGACGGCTCGGATTAGCAACGAGTTCGGGCCGTCCACTATCGCGAGGGGTCTGAGCCTCGTCATCGCACGGGGCCTCTGAGCTACGTGACCGCACAGCACAGCACCTCTGAGCGTCGGGTTACGGGATTCGTAAAGTCTGCGGCATGAGGGGTTCCCATGGGTGACTGTACGTACTTGGCAAGTGTGGAGTGAAGATTCCAGCAAGGCTGCGCTTCTTTTACCATTAGTCCTACTATGTGCAAAATTCATTATTCACACCTTGTTTTTCAGCCACACCTGCAGGCACCTACAACCACCTGCGAGCCCTTGTCGTGCCGCCCCCTATGCACAATCTATGGATGCCAAGCTGCCAGGCTCAATGTCCACCACGATCGTTTTGTATGGAGATGCCATTCAGTTCTAGATCATCATGTCCGTCGCAGCTGGATACATTGATCGCAGTTGAAAGGACAGCCTAGCCAAGCTAGATGGCCGTCAACTGGATGGCCGTCACGATCGGGCTTCGTATAGAGATGCCATATAATTTCAGATCATCATTTCGATCGGTGGCATTCAAGTGGGCAACTTCCCAGCGTAAATGGCCACTACGATCGGGTTTCGTGTAAGGATGTCATAAAATGTTAGATCATCATGTCCCTCGTAGCTGGGCTGGCTGGCTGGTTGGTGGTGAGCTGCCAGCTGAGGTGGCACTAAAGGACAAGGTACAAATAGCAGGACTCTTTATCGTCTTGGAGTGGCATTCTTCTCATCTGGGGTTTCATAACACCTGTCCTTAGTCCGTCCGGCCTTAACACGCATCAGACCCTCAAAAGTCAACCACGCCGAAAATGGCACTCTCGCAACCGTGCTCCTATAGACGCGTCTGCGAGATTTCATACCTCACGTCCAAGCCAGATCAAACGGGCATGCCGATGGCACTTGGATCGTCGTCAGTCCGGGAGACCCGCAGGCCCAGCGCAGAGAGAGCCTTGGTAAGCTATCACACACGATTGAGAAAAAAACTCGACTATGCGTGGCGATCTACTCAGTTTGGGTTTGACCGATGGCGCCCTTTGACACTAGAAGCCTGCCCTGACGGACTCCGGTTGCGGCCATTGCTTTCCACCAGAGTCGTGGTAAAGTTCTGCCTACCTTTTATCACGGGTACTCTGCCTGTATGATATTCTTCTTCAGTCGAAGACCACTCACTCGTATCCGATGTATCTGGCCGAACCGGATGGCCGTGATCAATCCCTTCACTTAAACATCCGAGAAGTTGAGATAAGGGAAGCACCCGTGAGTCAGGGCCCCCGAGCTGTTGACATCAAAGGCCTCGGAATACGAGCCAGGGTGATGGGAAAGAAATAGTCACACGCAGTCATGCCAACGTTTGCAATAGCGTGTAGTTCATTAGGGTATAAACGTATCAATACTGCTGTCAGTGAGTGTGTCGTAGCCCAAGTTCCAACGCCCGCATCAGAACATTGCCGCCCAAGTCCCGAACCACGTAATCCTCCTGAAGTTCAAGACAGCAATGCCTTCCATAGGTACGCACCCAACCCCAATGCATTCCCACCATCTTCATCAGCGCCCAGGCCTACCATGCGCACACTCCAGCACTGTATCTCACCATTTCCTCAGAGGATTGCCGCAGCACCGACCAAGCCAGCAGCAACTGCAGCCCCTACCAAGCCAACAGGAGCAGTAGCAGCACCAGCAATGACACTAGAGGTAGTGGTCGAAGTGGTAGTGGTAGTAGCGGAAACGGTAGTAGTGGGAATGGTCGAAGTGGATGTGGTAGTAGTAGGAATGGTCATAGTGCTGACAGTGGCACTGATGATAGTGGTGACGCTGGCACTGGTAATGGTAGTAGTCTCAGTGGCGGTGGTAGTCGTGGGAATGGTCTCAATAGCAGTGGTCATAGTCGAAGCGGTCAGAGTAGCAGTGGTGACAGTGCCACTGGTGAATGTGGAAGTGGTAGTAGTCGAAGCGGTCGTAGTGGGAATGGTCGAGGTGGATGTGATAGTAGTGGAAGCGGTAGTAGTGTCAGTGGCAGTGGCAGTGTCAGTGGTCATAGTGGAAGTGATCATAGTGACAGTGGTGACAGTGCCGCTGGTGAAAGTGGAAGTGGTGACAGTGGAACTGGTGACGGTGGAAGTGCTAGTAGTGGGAATAGTGACAATGGTGACAGTGGCACTGGTGATGGTACTGTCACAAAATGCGCTGGTCGTGATCAGGCGGTCGAACTCGGACCGGATGGCAGATTCGAAGCTAGGGTCGAAGACGCAGTCCGTGTAAAACTTGACATAGCTCGATTCGTCTTTGCTGATTGAGCTGATGATCTCTGAGGTATAGTCGGCAAAGTTGCTTCGCAGAGACAGTGGAAGCTGCGAAGCAAAGGAACAGAGGTAGTCCAGGTCCTCCGGGTCGGTCGGGTCAGGCGAGGAGGTCGGGTCGGGGGGACTTGCGGTACTCGAATACTGATCGAAGGCAGAGCTAAGCTCACCAGTCATGACGGGGATGTCGTTGTTGATGGCAGAACCCAGGATGGAACAGGAGACCGTGTCTGTACTGGTGGCCTGGACAGACGCGTGCTTGGGGTGCGCAAGAAGCTGCTGGGCGAGGGCAACAGTCGGCGTCGCCATCGCGGCGATGCCCAACTCGTCACACAGGTCAGTTGCCGAGATGATCTCGTCAATCACCGAACGGGCCGTGGGCAAGGCTGCATCATAACAATCAGTGAAGAAGTCGAGAAGGTCCGATGAAGACATTCCGACGAAGCTGATCCATTCCGTGGTATACTTGGCAAACTCTTCATCCAGAGAACTGGATAGTGCATCGCGGATCTTGCAAAGGGGAATGGTCCCCGTGGGGATTGGTTCTGATGTAATGCGGCTCCAGTCAGTGGCCAATTTACCGGTTGCTGTGGGACAGTCACGCCAGAGAGAAGTTTTCGATGAGCTGCAGGCAGCTGTGGCAGTAGCTGCGATAGGCATCGCGGGTGGGAAAGCACCCATATGGGCGGAGACGACACTGGCCAAAGCCGCCATGTCGAGGATGACTCCCGAGGTGTGCATCGTGGCTTGATGGTAATCCGTGTGGTTGGAACTTGGACGTAGGTAGGTGATTCGAGCAATGTGCGTGCGTGACTGACTGTGATTGTCTGGAGGATGACCAAGAAGGGGATGACGATGCTGTGGGTGGTGCAGGTGGTCCAACCGAATGATGTTGGCGGTGGTCCAAAGTGACGATGTGTAGAGAATGTGGTATGTAGAAGAGAAGAAGTCTGGGAACAGGTCCAGTTGATGAGAGATCAGAGATATGGGCGAGGGCGAGAAACCGACATGTTCGATGGGAAGTCATGGCCGGACGAGTGTGCCTTCTCCTTCTTCACAACCCATCTTTGCCCCATATCGTACGAGAGTCCTGCAAGATAACTCGGAAGGTAGGGCCCTTGCTGCCTACCATAAGACCCACGACTTGGAAGGGACAGAAGTTGAATTCACCGACAACGGCATGCGCACCTCTATCCTTTCCCCATCAAGACCGAGTGATGACGTGTAAGCCGTCACATGCATCTGGATGGAAGTTGAACCATCCCATGGGCACGCACGATCAATGGCGATGCTTTCCACGGATGCTGCCTGCTTGGGAGGAGCTGCGATGGCAAGCTGGACCGTCATGTATGCTCACGAAACGTTCCTTCGCCGTGCTTGTGGAACACTGCCAGACAGGTACGTGTCCAATCCAAGCCTCGCGATTGATCCGGAAGGAAGTGAGGGACCCGCAGTAGCAGGTACCCAGGTGAGATAGGTATACCTGCGACTGGGTACCTATATGAATGAATGCTGAGAGGCGATGACCACCTGTACGCACGTACCGTTGGTGACAGCCGCTGACCCAATACTCAACATCCCCCCTTTCATAGAGGTCCCGCCATTACCTTCAAGCGGAGCAGTCAAAGATGCTCCTTCTGTTACGCTTGTCCACTCCAGCTTGTTTCCTTTCCATGGCGAGACACTGGGACTGTCAGTAAGTAGGTAGGTGCTGTGCAACATCCGCCTGGCAGGGACCTTGGGGAGAAATCTGATCACCTTCTGAATATCCTCGAACAGAGATTGAGAGGAGCGACTTGCAATGCACTGCCGCAGCATATTTCTTGTATTGCCAGAGCAGGAGCAATGAATTGCCCCAACTATTCGAGTGCTTGCAATTGCTGTAGGTTGACTCTCATGGGCAGCTGCAATGGTCGGGTCGTGAAGGGCTTGTAGGTAATGCGTACGGGGTTCCCACTCAGCGTCTGCACATCATCCTCTACTTGAAGTCCATCAGTGCACATTCGTGTATACAGGTTACGCAAGGTACCTGTTGTTGATGAAAGTGAAAAGGCTTGACCCATAGCATCTTTCATGATACGTGATTCGCGCAGGCCAACCTGGGAATATTGTCCTCATTTATACCGTATTGGCATACCGGGGGAGTTGAGAATACCCTTCTGTCGTTGATGTGAGATTTTACTGTCAGTGGTCCCTTCCAATCGTGTTTGAGTTGTGGCTTGCACCTATCTCCACCAAGCCTCTAGTTAGGAACCACCTGGACTGGAAGGATACTCCGTTACCAAGCCATCGCATTTCCACCTGCAGTGATCGGCAAACCCAAAATATGGAAGGTATAACTTCTCTGCCCTTGGTCGCTAAGTGAATTTGTACTGTCCTGCCGGAGCTTGAGGTCCTTATGTGGGGATGCCGAGCAAATATTCCACAAATCTGAGGTCATCTCGTCTTTGGTCTGCACTGACAATTACTCAGACGGGCATCATCAGGATCGATCAATGTGACGAATGGAAGGTGTATATAAGTCAGAGGCAGTTGGGCCTGCCTGCCCTGGGATATTTTAATGTAGGTACACATTCAACATATCGCCAATATCGAGGAAGCACGATGCATCAAGACGAACTCACCCAACGCCTGGCCGAGCGGATCGTGCACCACCACAAGAAAATGCCCTTCCATGACGACGGCAGCAAGAAGCGGCAGAAACGCTGCCTCGTGGCCCTCGCCGGCGGGCCCGGCAGCGGCAAGTCGACCATCGCAGAGGCCGTCGCGGACAAGGTGTCGCAGCAGCACGTCAAGTGCCAAGCGATATCGATCGAAGGGTTCATGAAGCCAAAATCAGCGCTATCAGAGGAGCAGCTCAAGAAGCGCGGCGCAATCGACACGTTCGACGGTGAGGCCGTGGTGAACATGTTCCGGACGCTGCGCGCGCGCGGGCCGGGCCACGAGCTGCGGGTGCCCGTGTTCGACGAGGAGAAGAGCGACCCGGTGCCGGAGGGTCAGCTGATCGAGGCGGACACCGAGGCCGTGATCTTCGAGGGGATCTACATGCTGGCGGACCGGGAGCCGTGGAGGCGCATCGAGGAGCTCGTCGATGAGAAGTGGTTCATCCATGTGCGGCCCGAGCTGTGCCGGGAGCGGGTGACGGAGCGCAGGACCTCGAAGGGGATCACCAAGACGAAGGAGGAGGCGCTGAGGTAGTATGATGAGTCGGATGGCTTGAACAATAACTTCATTGATAAGCATCGGTATCATACCGATATCATCATCGAGAGTAATGAGGAGATGGCGTTGCGCGAGGGAGATGGGAAAGAGCTGCGGTGACCGACCCACGTCTCAACATGTCGGGTGGTCTGCACTGGCTGATCAAAGAAGCCCGTATCTGAGGATATAACGTTAGCTTGCAGGCAGGTGTTGAGAAGACACCCTTAGGACTCCAATATAGTGGCATTGCATCAAGTAACGTTATGCCGGCCAACATATGGACGCTGTTTACAGTTGGTGTGTTCATGAGTCTCTCAGGCCATCCTATCTGTTGTAACCAACCCACAATCTTTCCAATGTAGTGCGGCCATCTACTTGTGGAATACGAAAGGGGAGAGACAACCAAATGAGTTCTCCCTCATAATGGAACGCCGGATGGCGGCGCCACCTTCGCTCAACTCATACTGATGCAAAGCAAGTGTGTGAAGACTTAGTGTAGGTAGACATGTGAAATCATGTAAAATTTACTCATCACACAGCAACAGTCCGCAAAATCTATAGGCACGACAGAATTATCTGGCCTTGAACAGCTTCAGAAAGCATGACAAGGGGCTGTCTCCTTGAGGCACATGCCCTAAAGGGAAGGTGGTACCGTGCGGACCGTGCGTACCAGATATGGAAACAGTATGCTTGACACGGTATGCAGGTTATCGGTGATAAGCTTTAAAGCCTCCGGGACTCAAGCCAGCCCCCGGTCGGATCGGCACGAGGCATCAGCAGCTGGCAGCTCGACTCCCGATCCATATGTTGATCTCACGAAGTTACGCCGATTATCCCCCGACAACTTGCCGCCGTTCGCGCTTGAAGACCCGACGCGATCCATTCCTAGATGGCCTCATACCCAGAGTCGTCTGGTGCCGGTGATGGTGCAGAGATTACCGACTCGGCACCTGCAGCACCTCAACACTCCCAACAGCCTCAACCGCTGCATGCCGAGCAGAGCGAGCAAAACGAGCAAAACGAGCAGAACGGACACAACGAAGAGCGCAAGCATTACGAGCATGAAGAACAAAGCGGACACTACGAATACCACGGTCCGCAACACCACCATCAACCCGAATCAACCGACCCTTCCCAGCAGCATCACCTACATCACCAGCAGCAGCAGCCGCTCAGCCCGGCCGATGTATACGATGACAGCCTTACACTGCACTCGCCCCTCGCAGCAACCGCCGTCGCGCATCATGGCCTTCAGGTGCTGCAGGCTGCGTCGGCCGGTCCTCCCCTCACCCCGGCTGCCACCGACCTAGCCCAGCAGTATGCCCAGTCTGCTGCGATGCAGATGGGCGATGCTCAATTCTCTGCCGCCCTGGCAAACCCTTCGCCACCCGCCCCTCTCGTTGCTGCGAGTCCCACGTCGCAGTCGCAAACACAGACGCAGCCAAAGGTCACGCGCCTCCGACGCGCCTGTGATTTGTGCAGCCAACGCAAGGTCAAGGTATGATATGCCCAGCTACTCGAGCTTGTCAGTGTATGCTAATCGAGTCCGTCGTGCAGTGCGATGACAGCGGACCGCCTTGCAAGCCATGTAGGGATCTTGACATGAAATGTGAATTCACTAGAAGCATGAAGCGACGCGGACCACCTAATAAACACGCAGCGGCAGCGAGGGCAGCGAAACACGCTCGCACCGACAATCCGTCTGCGGCCCCCCATAATGCCGCCGAAGCCTTGATATCCATCGCTGCCAACAATGAATCAACCACGTCAGATGCCGAAGCTATCGCGCCGTGGCCCATCCTACAGCTGCTCGTCGACGACTTCTTCACCTACATCCATCCTCTCATGCCCTTTCCACACGAGCCGTCCTTCCGCCACGCCTTCACGAACCGGATGGACAGGACAAGTGGAGAGTTCTTGGCCCTGCTGGCGAGTATGATTGGCGTCCTGGTTGCTTCGTTTCCTCGTAGTGCCAGAGCCCATCTGAAGTCTCAGCAAAGCACGGGTCTCTTTCTTACTGCATTCTCCATGATCGATCACTGCAGGTCCATCGCACTGGAAGCCCGGGGGGTGCGGTTCATGATGAAGCAAGAGATGAGCGTTGACGATGCTGCAACAAGTTATTTCCTGGGTATCGCTGCAGCATACACACTGCAGTGGAAGCCGTGCAAGCGCTTTATGGCCGAGACCATGACCTTCTGCAGAGAGCTTGGTACCCATCGGCAAAGAGACACGTCCACCTTGGAAGGCAACGTGCCTGAGCTCGTAGCTGACCTCAACAACGCTGCGAACAAGCCCGTCCATCATATCAAGGATCAGATCGGCAAGCGTATCTTCTGGGTAATGGTAGCCGGTGTTCGGTAAGTCGCCTCGGCTTTCGTCATGACGCCGATGCATCATGCTAACCCTACAACCAGATCAATGACCCACCTAGGCGCTAGCATCAATGAGTTACCGTTGTCTCCACCGACCACTCAGGAGCCCTATCCAGACCAGCCACTTGAGGTCGACGATGGTTGCATTTTCTCGGACCAAATCCACCCCCAGCCGGAGGGTGTTATATCACTTATTACTGGGTTCAATAGAAACATACGTATCTACATGACCATGAACGAGCTTATCGGGGTCGACATGTGCTATGGGATGAACTTTTTCGACTGGATCGCCCAAAAGAACATTCTAAGTAACGGGCTGGCTTCTGCGAAGCAAGCTGCTGACGATATGCCTGCCGAGCTGCAGGTCAAAATAGAGCCGGGCCAAACCGGTGCCACAGGTCTTGATCATTCGGGCTTGCAGTATTATCCGCCAGGCTTTTCGAGTACTCAAGCTCCGGACGATATGCGAAGGGCGTTTGCTGAGCAGCCTATGCGACGACGTGAGCTCCAGTGTGAGATTCAGAAGGCCAACATCTACGCGTCTCAGCTGGCAACGAGGTCCTATTTTGTCGAACGATACCTCAACCTTCGCGATGCCCATCGCTCGCATCCCAACTTCGTGGAGGGCGCCGACGAAGATCCCAATGATGATCGTGACGCCATGATAGCCAAGGAACGAGAACTCATCGTGCAGACCCTTCTGACCGTCTTGGCGTCTATCAGCCAGCGCAACATGGAGCCTAATGGTCAATCAATCATCAGCAAAATCCGGCTAGTGGCGAGTACGCTCTTGAACGATGCACCCGAGCGCAAAGGCCCTCTGGCTATCAAGGCTGAACAGGATCTCAGCCACTTCCTGGACATCCTCATGACATTGGAGAAGAATGGAGCTGGCCCCGTCACGGGTACCGTGACACCACAGGACGAGGAGGAAGAGCTACAGTCCTGGGCAAACCTAAGAGAGTATCAACTTCAGTTCCTGTCGAATGGCGGCTATCTCGCTGAAGTATAAATGAGTCAGAAAGCTCGTTTACTGGCACATTACCGCGACAAGTTGATACAAGCTCATTTCTCATCAACTTTGATTGGCGCTCGCCATTATCCAATCATATATATTCCAGCACACTACTCGCCAAGACCTCGAAGCGCTACGAACTTCATCGGAGTGCATATGGTGGTCGGCGTATGAGGATATGGACACTGAGATGAAGATATAGTCTCTAGGACTCAGTCAGCCCACGTTTGCAGTGCAAGATTTCGCGAACCGTATTACTAAATGGGCTGTGGCTGGAGCAAACCGACCGCTCGAGACCAGTGGTTTCTGGTTGTGGACATCACCGGCGGCGGTCTAGGAGGGTTTTCCGACGTCGATATTCTTCCAGCCGTCTCCTCATCACGTGTGATCAAGCTTATTCGATATATCCATCCAGCTGCTTTTCTTTCTCTGAAGGAAGCAAGCTGTAATGCCTTTATGGTAACCAACTGTGCACTAGACTAAGAGCCCTAGTTATTATAATGTCAATCCATAACATCAGGCATGTCCTCGGGACCTACGCTTGGTGTTTTGCAAGCGCATGATTGTACACTATATGATGGCGTATGAGGCTCTGGGGCTGAACGTGGTTTCGTACCCACCGCGTCGTTATCATTGCAGCGTAAGTCTGTAAGTTAGTCCTCCAATGTGGCAGGCAGTCTGCTCACCTGGTACAACAGACTCCAGCTTTTCTTTTATGCCTCGACACATCATGCTCGGTTTCGCCGCATCTCCGTTCATGGTATTATCGTCTCGGATACTCGAACGTATGTTTGAAGTCGTATGAGCACATCTCTGAAATGAGGCTTCCACTCGCCCCGAGTCAGAGTTTCGACCGTGTCTCTCTCTTTGTCTTCAAAAGTCAAGTTCGAGTTTCGCAGTCGAAGATGTAGTAGTTTTCATGCTATCGATATTTACGTGTCGGTCTACTAAGGTATGGACCAGTGAGATATATACAAGAATATGAAGTTTTTTTGCTCTGCTTGCTTCCGCAACTGAGCTATTGGTCCCGTTGGCCGACGGATTACGGAGCGGAGGGAGTGAGATGGCATGGAGGGTATCCAAGGGTTCGAGGTCCCAATGTCCCAATGTCCCCCCAGCCAGCCTCTCCACTTGCTCACTCGCCTCAAGGACTCCCGGAGGATCACTCAGACGCAATGCCACACGACCGACCCTCCTAGTAGGCAACCCTACGAAGAAGCAGCCGGGAAACTCCCGTCGTCACTCCTCGTGCACCCCGAAATCGCCGTAATAGCAGCCGGGCACTCGACCTGCGAGAAGGTGACGCCGGGGTTATCGGCGCCCTCGAACCAGTCGAAGCGCCACTCGCAGCCGGCCTGCAGCTCCGCGGGCATGGACGACGAGGTGCAGTCGGACCGGGACGAGACGCCGCCGTACTGCTCGCCCGGCAGCGAGGTGCCGAACTCGGACTTGCACCCGTCAAAGAGCCCGACGCCGCCGCCCGGCATCAGGATGTCGAATTGGTTGGACCCGAGGTCGCCGCCCGTGTTGGTCGACTGCACTATCATGGTCTTGCCGGCTACGGCGCCCGAGGTGAACTCTAGTCTGTGGGGGGTTTGGGTGGTTAGTGGGGTGTTTTCGGGTTGGGTTGGGTTGGCGGGTGTGTGGGCTTGGAATAGAGAAGATTGTTTTGGGGATGAGGTTTCGATAATGCGATAGGGAAGAGCCGCAGAAAGCAGGAAGCACGGTTAAACATAAAGATGAAGATGAAGCCGAAGCAGAGCCGAAGAAGCAACTCACTGGTAGCAAGCGCAACACCAGCTGCTCTCGGTCCCGCCCGAGATGGAAGTGGCCGCGAAGCCGTACGCCAGCGTGTCGCTGACGGCCCAAGGCGAATAGTTGGAGCACGTGTAGGCGGTGCCGCCGTCGCAGCCCGACTTCGCGTCGGGGTCGGTCAGGGGCGAGTCGTTGGCGTCGCAGGTCGTGACGGGGGCCGTGACGGACGCCTTGCCAGTCCAGGCGCACGACGGCTTGCAGCAGTCCCAGTACCGCGTCGTCGTGCCGGTGCCGGAGGCGGCGTTTGCTGTGGCCGCGGCGGCGAGGAGGGCGAGGGTGGTGGATGTGTGCATTTTGGCGGGTTGATCTGGTCTCAACTGGTCAGGAGATGGGTAGATGTCGTTGTGCGGTATCGTAAGCTAGTGTATAGACAGCCCAGTTGAATGGGAGCACAGCACCTTTTATATCGTCACATCACGAGTACTGTCAATTCTTGCGTTGTCCACGTCATCAGTGTAATATGTATGCACGGCTCGATCCCAGCTGCGCCATTGATGGCTGCTTTGGATAGATTACCATCGCAGATCAGCCGCTCCGCCGCATCCCTTTGCAAGCCTCGCTTGTGAGGAGGATTCGCATGGGTGCCAAGCACCCTGAACCAGAACAACGGTATACTCCTTTATTGAACAGCCTGCACTGAGGGGCCAAATCTCACGAGCCGTGTATTCTACCTCGTGGATGAGGTCGGCTCGTCTGTTCGAAACAGAACAGCGGAGAAGGCCCCTGGAGGATGCAGGTGTCAGCCAGAGATCGGCAAATTTGGGTTTGAAAATGGAATTGAAATTGAAGGACAGATTTGGAGTCGATATTGGGCGGAGTCATCAAGCACGGCCCGGCTCCCCCGACTTTTCGGAATTGGGTAACCCGGTACCTGCGTTCCGGGCCCGGGCAAATAGCCACGAATCAGAGCACGGCTGCCACATTGGCCAGGCACGGGAACCGGTACTTTCCAGCTTGGGTGCCGTAGAGCCGGATTGACTTGTAGCTGTCATCATCGTTGTCGACAGTTGTTCAAAGGGGCGCGGCACGGCACTAGGACCCACGATTGCGAGGTCGGCTCGAATGATGGACTGGAGGTCGAAGGGAACATCATCGTCGATCATCTATCAGACTAGCTGACTAGCAATGGTCTGATGCGGATCTAGAAGGATGAGATGGAACTTTATCTGGTTATATTTGGGTACGCAGAAGGTTTAGACGAGAGACAGCGGCGGCAGCTACAGGAGTTCGGGTTAGGGGTGGAAAAATACAGTGTTCTATCTAAAAAATACTATACAATACACGCATACAATACGTATTATACCGTATTGTATTATTCGGGCCGGAATAACTTCCGGAACACCCTCGGTCAGCTATAAGGAGATTAATTATTGGCCGCCAATAATTTTTTCCGATAATTGTTTCTGACTAATAATAATTTCTGAGTTAAATCTAGGTGGTTTATAGTACTACTAAGTACCCTTTACTATGTCATTATTAGGAAACACCCGTATCGTTTTTAAAAAATATAATAAAATATAATACGTATATTATATTATACTGTATTTTTTAAACTTTATTATTAGTTTAAGTGTGAGATAAGGCCTCCTATTACCTACCTAGAAAGACCGCGTTTTTCAAAAGTTTAATATAAGCCTTACAACACCTTATTAAAGTATAAATATAATAAATACGGGCCGCTTTCATAAGCGTCATTTCAATTAAGTATAGAAAGGAAATAATATTATAATCAAAGCTTTTATTAATGTTAATTTAATGGCTATGTTGAATTAAATGTGATGGATCTGACACTCATCAAGTGGTTTGGTGTGGTAGATGTTGAATACACGGATGTTGATTGATGTTGAATGGAAGCCAGAGATAGACACCGGAAGATCTCCAGTGGTACAGAGACGCACAAGGCATCTGACCCACCAAGAAAACAGATGGTCAATCTCTGTACGCAGAGCAGAACAATCAATAACATCAATCAACACCCGTGTATTCAACAATTGATGCTATTGATTGTTCTGCTTTGTGTGCAGAGATTGATCATCTGTTTTCTTGATGTGCCAGATGTCCTGTGCGTCTCTGCCCCACTGGAGATCTTCCGGTGTCTATTTCCAGCTCGCATTTAACAGTAGCAATTATTACAATAATTTGAACACAAAACTTTGAAAAATTAGGAAATTTACTTCTTAACTAAGCTATAAAGCATATTACAATAAACAAAATAAACTTCGGTTATAAGCATTTAAATATCTTTTAATTTAATACTACGATATTTTAGAATAATAAAAAGAAGTTTATTAATAAAGTAAATATCATAGTCTATTACAGGTAGCCTGTGACGGCCTGCATAGACCTTCCCACATGACAAGTAAATACTTCCCAATAGGGGAAGGATCTGACCAGAGGATCCCCTTAAAGGGGCAACCTCCCACTGTACCTATCTCTCTCTCTCTTTCTTTCCTCTCTAGTCTTGATATTCTCGTCAATAGAGTAATAGCTGCTTGCTGCAGGCCATGTCCCAGCTCCTCAGTATACTCGCCGTGACATAGCCCATGTAGTGTATCCTAGAGCCCGGACTTGAATACATATACCACCATTGAATGTCAAGCTGCCACGCTTGATATTTGACGTCCTTTTAGGAGGAACAGCCGCGGCGTGGTAGTCATGGTGAGCGTTCTGTTACAGTAACAACGTTAATAAAGATTTAACTTTAATAGAATAATAAGCGTTAATAAAAATTACTAACTTTAATAAAGCTAATAATTATAATAAAGCAATGATGACGTACGACCGTACGTTTAATTAATATTATGAAATATAACTATTATAAAACAGTTAAAAAAAACCATTGTACGCAATCGTTATCTTATACTAATTACTATTAAGAATCAAAATAATAATAAATTGTTTAATTGTTTAACTAAAGCGATATTTACACTAGAATCATTACGAAATCGGACAAGCAAGCTATTTAGTAGCATGTTTCGACCTAATAACACTATTAGACACCTAGAAGACTGCTGTTAAATGGGAGCCGGAGATTGTTGGATTAAAGGTGAGCCAAGAGGGCACCTTAATAGGTGGAGACCGGAGCCTAGTTGTTCCATCCGATCCAGCCCCCTCTTGCACAAAACTGCCACGGTCGCACAAAGACACTAGAGAGACAGAACGCATGCACACACTTCAACCTCACGATTGGCTCAAATCTGACAATTAAGAGTCTCATTGCTATTCTCTTTGACAACTATATTTATCCTGCATATTTAAGATGCCTGTCTTCAACCCTTTGAGAGTCAGAGAAAGCAGACTTCTCAGCATCACTGTCAGAAGCGAGAGAATGGCCCAAATGGGACTATGAGTTCCAACTGAAGGCAGACAGACGCCTTAGGTCTTCTTGACCTCCTTGTTCAGAAGAAGAGAATTATATCACAACCAGAGATTCCGAATATTACACAAAAGGAATACAAAGAGAAACGAACGACTCTCGAACCAAGCCAAACCATTGAAGTCAATCCCGATCCGAATGATGGAAACGAAGACAAAGAAATCATCCAACACAAGCGAAATAATGGCGTGTGGATACTATCAGATCTAACAACAACGGGGAAATAAATATATGAACTCGACAATAGTTTTTATAATTGAATCTAAAAGCTGCACAAGAAGTAAGCACTATCTTTAAAGAAAATCAAGAACCATATACTAAAATCTGTCGCAAACCACTACAAGACCACCTGCTGCATTCCAAAGCAACCAATCTTGGAGTGGTACACAAATCTCCAAGCCCAGTGCGGAATGGCTAGTGCAGATGAGCAGGAGGATGCAAGACAACTCTACAAGACAGCACTCCAACCCCTCAGAAATTCCAAGAACGCAGCAAGATGGATTGTCTCTTAGGAGATCGCCTTTACGAAGGCCCATCAGAAAGAAGTTCCTGAGACGCTCAATGTGAGCTCATTGGCCAGAGACTTTCTCGACGCGGTATCCGAAGCATTTCCCATGTGGTCAAGCACTTGTGCGGTTACGAAGGACGAACAAATCCGGCACGGGATTCTCAAACATCAAGATCTTGTCAACAATTTCACGAGGGCTATTTTGCGGACCACCAATAAAGCTGGACGAGCCCCCAAAGGTGCATTTGGGGCTACCTATAACGGCAAGGGCTCCGGCAAAAAAGACCAGAAAGCCGGAAACAAAAAGCCTGAGAGAAAACAGACCAAACGCCGATCGAGGAACGAGAGAAGTAGGGATGAGGACCATTCCGAATGTTCAGCGTGTGGAATGAAACACGCATTGTCGAATTGTTTCTATGTCTTCCCGGAGAAGACATGGAAGGGCTTCCGACCTAGGGACTATCTCGTCGAGAAGACGACCCAAGCCTTGGAAGATCCAGAACTACAAGCTCAAGTCCGCGCCTTGAAACGGAACAAGTCAAAATCAAGTACAAGGATTCCTCAACCTAAGAGAGAAGAGCCTGAAGAGATTTAAGATTGACTCTATGGCAGAACGATGGGCAAGGTGCCATCAGCCTTCACAGCTGTCAAATCAGACGACTATCCAATGGCCTATTCAGTCATTTTAGACAGTGGAAGCACCATCACGATCACAAACCAAGCATAGCGTCTAACCAGCTGGAGGACTACGCCACCAGGGGATTTTGTATGGTCAGGAGACCGCCCCTTACCCATCCAAGCGTACGGCGAGATGCAAGTACGCATCGGAAGCACGATTATCAACTTTCTAAATACGGCCTACTGCTCCTCACTCCTCACCACTCTCGTATCCCTACGAGAACTCAGACGGAGAGAATATTGGTGAGACAACAAGGAAAGGCAGACCAGTCTCAAAAGAAGAAACAATACCTTGGTCGGCCATATCAAGGACATGTACGGCCAATATGTCATCAACTACCAACCGAACGACCCGAACGCTATATTTCACACTGCACAATGAAGCAAGAAGCATCTACACAACTCATGGTTCAGAAGATCTCCCCTCACCAGGAACGCGTGGCTATGGCATCAACGACTAGGACATCCTGGCCCAGAAGCATTAGAACACTTAGTGCGCGCATCTCAAAAGGTGGTTATCCGAGGACCAACAGGAGTGGAATACGAGTCATGCGCAATGTCCAAGGCCAGACAGCATATACAGAGAGCACCACGATCTAATTACAAAGATCCAGGAGAAAGATTAGCTCTCGACTTTCACGACTACAAGAGGTCCCTATCAGACGAGTCATCTCATATAGTTTTTATATATAGAAATTCTGGTATCTTATAGGACTATGCTCTCAAGAATC